TCAACCTCCCCTCCTGATAACTTCTGTTCTAGATGATTAGAAACCGGTCCAATCATGTGACTGCTCTAATGGAATCAAATAGGAGGCCATTCCTGAGTGGTTGTGTTGCTGTGTATTGAGGTGTTTGACCTTCAGTGTTTTAGCTGAATCTCTCTACGCCCCAGAGACCGACAATCAAAACCTTATTTATTATTAAACACTGCCACGACTCTGGGAATCTGTTTTCCTGGAATCTTTAAATGCAAAAACATACATTCGTGTTTTTTCAAGAGAAAAAATGCTCAATTTCTACATCAATACAAACCTCCATCTCTCTCTCTCTCTCTCTCCCCCTCCTTTGGCCGCTTTCCTTTACTCACCCAATCCTTTTGCCCTGCTCCAAGTCGAGGAACAGGACTGACGAGCAAACCGCTACTATTTCCATCGCAAAACACATCTGGAAGTGGCTTCGTCCCCATCTGGGACTGTTCAGACATCTGTCTGTGTGTCTGTGTGTCGGAATATCTATTTGCATCTGTCTGTGTCGGATCACTTTATGGCTGTTCGCGGGATGTTGTGTGTGGGCAAATTGGCTGTCGGGTTCACCTGCAAAACACGCAGTCGCTACACCCTACAGTAAAACCCTGTGAAGCACTTTGAGATGTCCTCGTTATCGCAATGAGGGGCCGTATCAAACACAAGGATTATTCTGAATATCATTGCTGTCAGCAGAGATCTGTAAGCAGCCACAGACATGCTGGGGACAGGCTGACACTTGACATTACTGCCAACTGCCATCTGCATGTCACATCTGCTCTGTGCCCATAATCAAACCAGGGATCTCGTGCCTTCCACAAGCCCTGACTCACTGCCAGCCCAGCTGTGTGACAACCACAGTTCCAGCCTGTCCCTCTCTTCCTTCTGATGAGACGTTAAACCGAGGTCCTGTCTGCCTGTTCAGGTGGACGTTAAAGATCCCGCGGCGCTATTCGAAAATAGAAGGAAGTTTCTCTCTCCCTCGGCGACAATGGGTCACTCGCTTCATGACTGTTTGCGGGGCACTGCCGTGCCCAAACTGGCTGCCACGTTGCACCCACAAAATACACAGTAAATCCAGTAGAGCAGAGGCTTGAAAGAAGAGAGAAAATACGATGGAAATTGAGAGACGACGAGATAAATCATGTGTGCGGTTCTGAAGCCCTGACACATCGCTGGCCTGGTGTTGCCATGACCTATAGCCTCCAGAACTGTAACTCTACGACTCCCTGACACCCTCCACCCCCCCACACCCCCATGATGAACAAAGCCCCGAAGCTCTGCCCTGGGGCAGCCATTGAGCAACTGTTCCCAGGCTCCGACCCAATACAGGATCTGATTTCCTGATAAACGTCCCAGGCCCATCAGGGCTACATGGGGCCTGAGGAGATGGCAGTAAAGTGATACTCATTATCTGGACACACATGTGTTCAGTGTCTGCCCTCGGGCTAACCCTGAGCCTGTGCTCTCAGTGGGTGGGTGGGGGGAGAAACTGAGACGTTTCATTTGATACAGCGCCTTATCACGTCGCTGAGACGTCTCGAAGCGCTTCACAGAATACACTGTAAAGTCAAACTGATTGTGCGTTTTGTGGGCGAAACGTGGCAGCCAATTTGCGCGCAGTAGCGTCCCACAAACAGTGGAGTGAATGATTAATCCAGGATCAAACTTGGAGAAACCCCCTCCCACCTCTTTTCAAATAGTGTCACCAATAGCGATCTTTAACGTGATTTAACACCTGAACAGCCACAAGCGGGAACTCGGACTCATCCAAAGGGCAGTGTCTCCGACAATGGGGTGTTCCCCCCACACCCTCCACGGAGCGTCAGCCGAGACCAGGAGCCCAAAGTCCCCGACGCGCGGCTTGAACCCATGACCTTCTGTCACAGAGGCGAGAGTGCTGGCGGCGGAGCCAGGCGGACACGCCAACGATCCAAAAAAAATGTGAAGAGGTGGCGGAGCTGGGGGAGGTGGGGAGCGGGGGGAGGGGGAGAATGGGGGAGGTGGGGGGAAGAGGAGGAAACTGAGACGTTGAGGACAAAGCTGGAAAAAGAAACAGGAAAGTAAATAAACTGAGTGATGGATGGAAACAACTTACAATAAATAAAACTCAGCGAAGGGCTGAAAATATCTTTCCTCCATTGAGCGCCAATAAAGGACAGGGTTTTGGTATTAATTATAACAAACCCGCCGGCTCTCTCAAACGTTTGTTACTGTTGGTGCTGAAATCTGTTGTACATTTTAAAGGTCTCTTTCTCTCTCTCTCTCTCTCTCTCTCTCTTCTCTCGCGCGCCTACCCTCGCGCTCTCTCTCTCTTTGTCTCACTGTGGCCCCGTGTTCTGTGCGTGTTCCACACAGTGGCAGAACGCTAACCACTGGCCCGTTCTGTAATTTAATAGATTTCGCCCGAGTTTTCATTACATTATAAATCCATTGCAAATTATAAGCAGCGCGATGTTACAGGGTGGGGAAATAAGCATAATTTAATGTGTTTCATGTGATTATCCCATTGTCAAATGCCACCAATTGACCTCCTACACATGTAAATTAATTTCTCTGCTCAAAGAGGCATTGAGGGGCGAAAACTTTAGTCAAGTTACCGTACTCCACACGCCTCTGTTAACCTAAAGCAGTAAGTAGGAACCCGGTTGATAGTCAATTGGCGGATCGTTTTCCGGGCTTTGCTACTTTCAAAAAAAAAGTTAAATAATAACTTGGTCACTTCAATCCACGACTGTTTGTGGGGACAGACGCTGCTGTGCGCAATTGGCTGCCGCGTTTCGTCCACAAAATATACAGTCAATTCACTTTACAGTATATTCTGTGAAGCGCTTTGAGACGTGATGAGGCGCTGTATCAAATGCGAGGATTATTATTATTATTATAAAAACGCTTTGATGTAAAGACAATGTTCCGGCAAGGTCCCTCTGGAAGCGTCTTGGGATGATGCGTCTTTGCTGTTTCCATACAGACTCTTCAGGAAGGAAGTTAAAAGAAGACTTTTAAAAAAAATCCTCTAACCGCAGTGTTTGTTGATCAGATTAGACCACATTTGAAAACAATATGGTTTAACGCAGAGTTCTCCACCAGCTTTCCTGCTGGAGAGACAGCCAGCATTCTCGAAAAGTCGAAGAAACGAATGTTTTTGCCAATTTATCTCCCCGCCTGGAGTTAGCGGATGGTTCGTGCAGTGTTGTGGGGTGAAATTGGAGAGAAATGTCAAGATACCACAGGCTCCCTATCAGTCTGGCTCAGTCACCAGTGATCTCACTTCTAGGTTAGAAGGTCATAGATTCAAACCTTTCATTGGGGACTTGAGAGCTCACGGTCCAGGCTGTCACTCCGGCGTTGTTCCGGGGGTGGGTGGGGAGGTGGCGGAGAGGGAATGGTGCTACACTGTCAAGGATTTGGATGAGACTTTAGACCAAAGTTCCGACTGTGTCTGTTCCAAGTGGACGTCTGTGATTCTAGGACACTGTTGGAAAAGAGAAGGGTGTTTGTTTCCCTCTCCTGGTGTCCTGGCCACCGGTCCCTCAGATAAAAGGGGTTGTTCATTTCACGGCTATGTTTGTGTGTTAGTGGGGGTGGGGGTGGGGCGTGTGGTCGTTGTGCTCCAAATAGCTCCCGCGTTTGCTCACAAAATACACAGTCACTACACTTGACAGCGATTCCCTGCGAAGAGCTGAGATGTTTTGACGTGATGAGGTGCTTATAGGAGTTTTGTTCTCGGCCTCCCCCCCCCCCGCCCCCCCAACCCCCTGCTTGTCAGCTGCGACCCCAATGAAAAACCAAAGCGCTTGACGTGCACAGTGCCAGCCCTTTGTCCCGAAGAAGGTAAAAGAACCGAGAACGACCGGTAGATATCACAAGTTTAGAAAATTTAATAAGAAAAAGTACCTTTTAAAATACAAAACTTGTCAAAACGCTTACTGTTAGCCTGACAGCTCTACGTAACGGACAAAAGACACTGAGCTGCGTGTCTTGTCACTCGAGCCCTGAGCTACTGTCTGCAGTGGACCCTGGCCTGTGCGCGGCTGCCGGGTTAACAGGTCCCACAACGCCGGGTGATTTGCTCTGCGCCCGGCTGAGCGGACGGCCCTTTTTCCCGGGTTTGGACAACTTTGGATCAACTATTCCCGGCCAAACCAAACCGGAACAAACACAGCAAAACCTACAGTTTATATACACGTGCACCCAACTGGGTTGTGCGAGGGAGATCGAACCCCAGTTCTCCCAGCACCTGACAACGAGGTGTAACCCACAGCGCTGGGTCCCTCTGACTGTCATGCACACCCACACACACACAGTTATAGTCAATCAATGTAACAGCACCATTTGTGATTCCTCCAGTAAATACTTGGGATCTCCCCCCCCCATAACTACGCAGCTTGTTCTATTTGACTGTATTGAGCCCCTGAGGCGGTGGTCTGGTCCCTGGGGGTTCTGTACATGACACAGTCGGTGTATGTTTACCATATATATATATAACATATATATATACACACACACACGCGGGTAGAATAAAATATATAAAAACAAAGATGAAAACAACACACTTTGTTTCCTAAAAAAGAAACACATTTTCAAGTATGAGAAGTTGTGTGTTGCCCTGCAACACCCGGAGGAATGGTTAACTGAACTGGGGTGTGGGGATGGAGGGGGGTGGGAAAGAGAGCACCTTCATCTTGGGGAGCGGGGTGGGTGGGGGGTGGGGGGGGAAGAGCGGTGAAGGGACGAGGGCATGGATGAGGGTAAAATGCCACTTAATCATAGCAACCATATGCTCCTCACCCGTCCCCCAACCACCCTCACACCCCACCCCACGCCTTCCCCTCATTTATCTGTTATTTTGCCCTGTTCTGTCATTTCTTTTTTACGTGAAAAATACACTGAAAGTCCCTTTATTTTGTGTGTGTCCGTATGTCGATGTGTGTCCGTGTCCATGTGTCCCTGTGTGTGGGTGTCCGTGTGTGTGTGTGGCTGCAATTGGGAGGGTGTTCTCGCTCTCCCTCTCTCTCTCTCTCTCTCTCGGTTTCTCCGGGACAGTTTCCGTCGTCTCCGCTCCGAGTTTCACCGCCTGGCGACGCGCTCGTTGCCGCGGTCCCGGGTGGCGTGAGCCGGGGGCCGGCAGGTCTGGCAGCACTGAGCTCGCACCGTGTGCAGGTAGCAGCGGCCCAGCATCCGCAGCGTCTGGCAGAAGCTGAACGTCAGCCGGTCGCGGTCACAGACGTAACCTGTGCGGGAAAGGCAGGAGAACAGAATGTCAGCACGAGGACATTAGCGTCTCAGCAACAACAACAACAACAGCAACAGCAGCAGCAACAACAGCAAATTACGTTTGTAAAGCGCCTTTCGCGCTGGGAGGACATCCCAAGACCCTGGACAGTCTCGCGGAGGGTGGGGGGGGGGGTTGAGGCAGTTTCTCTCTCCTGGGGTCCTGGCCAGATAAAATCCTCCAAATAAAATTGGTCACTTGCTCCGTTGCTGTTTGTGGGACACTGCTGTGCGCAAGTTGGCTGCCACGTTTACCCCACAAAATACATGATAAAGTTCTACATCGAATAGAAGGATTATTATTTATTACAATGAACAATAATAGTAATCTTGCACTTGATACAGTGCCCAACTCCTAAACATTGACTGGGAATTGCTGTAAGGAGGGAGAGTCTCGTGAGTAATGGTCGAATTGTTTCAGTCGATGTCAAAATAGTTCTTAATGTCAAGTATCAAGACTTCAATTCCCAGGCTTCAGATAATACTCTCAACACAGAAAGAAAGAGAGAGAGAGAGAGAAAGGTCTGGGAAGAGGGTTCAGTACTGTGAAAGCCAATGCACTGGAACATAAATTTATATTAAAACTAATGACATTGAAAAAACCCAGTGTCCTGGCCAATAAATCCCTAAAAAATAAAAATTGGTCCCTCAATCCACGACTGTTTGTGGAACACTGCTGTGCACAAATTGGCTGCCACGTTTCACCCACAAAATACAATGGTCACTAGACTTTACGGTATATCCTGTGAAGCGCTTTGAGATGTCAGACGTGATAAGGCGGTATATCAAATGCCAGGATTATTATTATTATTATTCCTGTAAACACCCTGTCCGTCCTGGGCTGAAACACCAAACTTTATCGCCTTCATTTTGGCTCCTGCGGAAACGAGCTGACTGTAGGGTCTCCGGAGCGTCTCTCGCTAGGCGGGACGCGAAATGCGCTCACCGGTAATTGCAATCGTTTCTCGCTTGAACAGACAGCAGCACAAAAGACAGAGCGTCTCAGCTCAGTGGAGATAATGAGGCTGATTTCCCGCGCCCCCACCCATCGCTGCCAGTGCTCGCACATCACAAGGGGAAGCGCTTCATTAAAAGGCTATTTGTACGTTTAACACGTGATTGTGCGGCGGGCAACTAAGCGGTTGAGCTCAGCCTTAGAGGATGTTTCTGGTGAATAATGGCTGAATTGTTCCAGGCGTTATCACGACAGTTCCCAATGGAACAATTCCCAGACCCTCTGATAATGCTTTCGACACACAGAGAGAGCGACAGATAGATAAAGGTCTAGGTCTAAGGTTCAGGGATCTGAAAGTCAGTCCTCCGGAACATAAATATAATTTTTTTTTTAAAAAAAACCTTCGAACTTTTAAACTTTAATCGTTCTCTGTCCGAAGTATTAAGGGTGACATTTTTTAACCCTTCCCGCACTGAAACGAAGTCGCACACACACGCTCGCAGCTGGCCAATGCTTCCCTTACACTGAGCCACAAGGCTCGAGCCGTCCGATTAATGTTAATCCCTTATCCGTGGCGCACTTCTCCTTTAAAACAACTCCCAGTGATCACGGGCAAGAGTGAAGCAAGAAAGCGGCCAATTTGTCCTTAAGGGCTGACGAAGGCCAGATGTGAGTGTTCCACATCACGTGGTCGTAATTAAAGGGGGTGGGAAGCGAGAAGGGTATTTATTACCACTGGAATCTTGGCTGCACTGACACGATTGAGAACGATTGCGCTGTCGGACTGGGAGCTGCAGAACAAGAGAGAGGGTGGAACCTCTGAAATGGCTCCGACCCAACCCGGCCTGTCAGGGGTTGCTAAGTAAACCAGGGACGTGAGGGGAAAAGGGATAACGCTTTTATTGTTAACAATAATATGAATAATAATAATTCTTGCACTCGATATAGCGACGCCAGGTCTTTAAAGTCCACCTGAACGGGCAGACGGGACCTCTGTTTTAACGTCTCATCTGAAGGACGGCACCTCTGACAATGCAACAGCCCCCAGCGCTGCATTTGCTTAAGGTTTAAGGCAGGGCTGAAGGCCGCGCGGGCTGGGGCTGGGCGGAATTCTGGGGCCTCTGGTTTTTCGCTGTGAATGGATTTCTGCCGCGTGATGTGAAGTAGCTGAACGGGGAAGCGGCTGTTTGTGGGGTCCAGATGTCTCCAGGCACACCACAGAGTGTTTGGGTTGCTCGAGCCCACACAAGGCAAAAGCACGCAATGCAATAAGCTGTCCCACATTTAGTTAACCTCTCTCCCAGGTCACTGCAATTACCCCAAAGGAGCTTCGTCACTGCACGTTACGGTGTCTTTAATGAGCGCGAGGGAGGGAGGGAGGGTGGGTGGGTGTGATAGAGAACGAGAGAGAGAGAGAGAGAGAGAGAGAGAGACAGAAAAGGAGGGAGACAGAAAGAGGAAGAGATACAAGGGGGAGGCAGAGAAAAGAGAGAGAGGGAAATATTTGCTTTTTCTTGCTCTCTTATTCCTCTTTCTCTTTTGTCTCCCCCCTCTCTCTCTCTCTCTCTTCATCTCCTTTCTCTCGCTCTCTCTCCCTCCTCCTCTGTCTCATTCACACTCTTTCTAACGCTCTCTCGTTCACTCGCTCTCTCTTTCTCTCTCTCGCTCTCGGGTATGTATTTGTGCCGAGTTTGAAAACGGATGAATTCAGCCCTGAAGGATCTAATCATCCTGGGGCAGGAAACACAAGCAAACACAGAGGTCCTGGCGGCGTCCGCTCATCAAAGATTAGTGGGGGGTGGGGGGGAGGCGGGGGGGGGGGGAGGCGGGGGGGATCAGCTGCTCTCCGGAACACAGGACGACTTTAAACCAGCTCAGGGAAACGCTGAGGATTGTTTAGATTTTCCAGACAGGAAGGATTTCCTCCTCGTCCATCCCCCTGCCCCCATCACCCCCTTTCATCCCTCCCCCCCCCCCCCCACACACACACAGGACTAATAAGTATAGGTCAAAAAGAAACATTTGAATTTAATTTAAGATTCAAGACTGAGGAGGATAAATGTTTGTCAGGTTAGGGTATCGAAGGATACAGGGCAAGGGCGGGTAATTGGAGTTGAGGTACAGATCAGCCATGATCTGATAGAATAGCAGGACAGGCTCGAGGGGCTGAATGGCCTCCTCCTGTTTCCATGTTTCTATGCTGACTGAATCCCCAGTGACGGGTGGGCAGAGCCTTGCTCGAGGGGGTTTACGCTATCTGTAATGCTGCTCATTAAAGCTCTCCCGAGAGTACCAGATGCCGCTGGGAGAGGCGAGCACTGACACCAGCTGATAAGGCTCCTGATACTCAGTCTGTGCACCGTCAACACGGGAGCAAGACTGAGCCTTTGAGGTTCGGCAGCCAATGCTCCGGTGACCGGAGGCTGAGCGGCTGTGAGATTGATTGATTCATTCTTTCTGCTGGCTGGAGGAGTGTGCGCGGGGAGGGAAGTGTGGGGCAGGTCTCTCAGGGGAATCTGCAGGGAAGCAGTGGGGAAACATCGAGATGAAAATCCCAATTTCAATGTCTTGAGGGATCATAGAATCTTATAGCACGGAAGGAGGACCTTCGTCTCTTCGAGCCAGTGTCGGCTCTTTGAAAGAGGTATCCAACCAGTCCCATTCTCCCCCCCCCCCCCACCCGCCGCTCTTTCCCCATATTTTTGCACATCTTTTACCCACAAAATACACAGTCACTCCACCTTACAGTACAATAATTACAATAATCCTCGCATTCGATACAGCGCCTTATCACCTCCTCAAGACGTCCCAAAGCGCATCACAGGATACACTGCAAAACGGATTGACTGTGCGTTTCGTGAACGAAACACGGCAGCAAATTGCGCACAGCGCGGTCTCACAACCAGTCATGGATTGAGTGACCAAATAATAATAATCATAATTTTTTTTGGAAGGGATTATTGCCCCTGTATATCCAGTGAAGAGCACTGAGACATCTCGACGATGTGATAAGGCATTATCTGTCTCAAATGCAAAGATTGTTATCATTATCATCATCGTCAGCATTATCTTGGCCACTGATCAAAATTGCAGTTAAAATAGCTCACCCCTGGCGGTGCCGAGCAGACATGTCCCTCGGAGACAAAGACCCTTCAGGCAGAGGCTGCCTCTGGGTGTGTGGCTGATTACTGAGCCGGAATGTCAGGCCTTATCAGGGTTAGGCTCGGACACTGTTTGTCTCCTCTTAAACAGACACTTAGCCAGACTCTCACCTCCTCCCTCTTCACATCAACTGGACCTTTAATGCACTTGCCCCCTCTCTCTCCCCGTACCCACACCCCCCCCACCACTCCTCTCCCCACCCCCAAAGGGAGTTGGTTACTCCTCGTGTCTCGGCCGACAATCCTCAGGATTGACTCTATCTGCAAGTTACGACCTCTCGCTTTGACTACGCTTTTCAGCCGCCTTCCCAGTGAATAAATCGTGGTGGCCGTTAAGAATTTATGCCATTTTTTTTAGGATCCCTAGTTCCTCAGTTACAGAGTAAATGTCATTTAGTTGCTGGTCTGACACATTGCTGAAAAACGGCCTCGTTCCACACACTACACACACGCACACACTACACACAGTCTCCCCACCATTCGGTCCCTTTCCCAAGACAGCTGTGCTCTTTCTCACTCTGAATGCACTCGGGGTCTTGGCATACAAGCTGTCAGGTCGACCCTGTGCTTGTCTCACTTTCCGGTCTGTTCCCTTGTGGGGAGAAATCGAGAGCGTTGGTCCGTGCGAGTGGACAAGAGAGAGCGAGAGAGAGAGAGAGAGAGCGAGAGAGAGGACAGCGAAGGGGCAAGCGGACAGCAACAACTTACATTCACACACAGCGCTCTCGGTGTCAGGGGAAATGGCCGTCACCACAGCCAGATTGATTGGAACCAAGGCTGTTACAGAGGCCAAACACAACAGCTCATCTGTTGCGGTGAGGCGAGTGGATGATTTGTTCAGAGTTTGGGTGGGGGGGGGGGTGGGCGGGGAGTTTGGGGTGGGGGGGGGGAGAGAGAGAGAGAAGTACAAGCCAGGAGTAACTGGGAGAGAAAACTCAGTGCACACGCACAGCGGAGTGAACTCTGATGATGGGATTCCTCCATCTCCTGTACGTTCAGCTTTACCCAGCGCTCGAGGTGACTGGACTGCACTGGGTGACTGCACCCCCCCCACCCACCGCCCCCCACCTGTGTTTAGGTCTCAATAAGTGGCCGTGGACCAATACGGTTCTTATATTGCTGCTTAAACAACGATCCACTGACCAAACCTCTTGTGACCGCTGTGACATTCTTGGCTGAAGGCTGTCTGGGTGCAATATTTAAGGGTTTGCTTCACAGTACGTTTGAGCTAAAACCAGGCACTACCGGAAGGAAACTCAGTCATATTAATCACCACAAACGGCACTCCAGCCACCGATCACTGACTATGTTAGCATCCGAGACCGGTCCCAGTACATCATCCCAGCACAACAAGGTGCTCCCCTCACACCCCAACTACTGTATACTGCTCAGGTGGACGTTAAAGATCCCATGGCGCTATTCGAAAAGAGAAGGGAGTTCCTCTCTCTCTCTCTCTCCCCCCCCTCCCCACACCCCGCCCGGTCTCCTGGCTGTCAGTCCCCCCCAAATCAAAAACGTGGTCACTCACTCCATGACGGGACACTGCTGTGTGCCATTGGCTGCCTCGTTTCGCCCACAAAATACACAGTCACTCCTTTATACAGTTTTTTCTTGCGAAGCGCTTTGAGGGCTGTGCACACACTCACTCTGCTCGCTGGTGCTGCAGTCCTGCAGGTTACATTTCTGGCTGTTCTCAGGCCAGGGCTCATGGTCGCACCGGCTGTTGTCCTCCTCCGCCAGACCCGTCACCGTGTTCACGCACTTCACCAGCCGCCGCTGGATCCCTCCACCACACGTCACAGTGCACTGTCGGTGGGGTGGGGGGGAGGGGGGAGGGACACACAGGGGGGATATAACTCGAGCATCGAGTAAATATCAGGTCCAATCTTCTCTGCCCATTGAACTACAGCCCCAACTCTCTCTCTCTACACACACAGATCTAACTACAACCTCTCATCCCTGCTATGCCCTACACTGTGGAAGTCGCTCCCACCCTACCCCTCCGTCGTGCCAAGTCTTTAAGTTCTGCTTTCTCTGTTCCTCCCCCTTCCCCTCTTCCCTTCTCCTCCCCCTCGCTCGGGATCTAACCCAATCTGTGTAAAAGTGCTCCCCACACTATAACGAGTCAATGCTGGTATCATCCTAGTGACTCTCCGCTGTATTCTCTCACGGGCCTCCTGTCACTGATTGTGATTCCTATCACAGTCCTGATATAAATACACTAAACGGTGCCACATTTACCCAATCCCTGCCCACCCCGTCCCCTCTGCGCTCACCTGCCCCCACGAGCCCATCATCCACTTGGTGCAGGGCTGGGGGTTACACGTCCTGGTCTTGTTGGGCCGCGTGGCTCTGTCACAGTGGTTGACCTCAGGGCACAGCACCAACCTCTCCTGCTCCCCTCCATCACAGCCCTGGGAGCACTGAGCCATAGGGTGGGGGAAGAGAGACAGCTTATTAATGATAACAATATCAACATCTTGATTTGATGTGAAGCCCTTCACACGGGGCAGGGTCTCAGGAACGCTGTGGTGGTGGGGGGGGCGGGAGATGATAAGTGACGGACCCTAAAGGGGGTAGAAGATATCAAGTGATGGACCGGGGAGGGTAAGGGGTTGGAGTTGCTAAGTGACGGAGTTGGGGGAGATGTGTTAAGTGGCGGAGCCCGTGTTCGTGGGGGTGGATGGACCTCAAGCGCTGCTTTGGTTCTTGACGGCCGTCCATGTTTGCGGTGACTTACGTCTCCCCATGAGGATATGTACCAGTCCATGCACTGCTTGGAGCTGCAGACCAGGCGGGTGGGTGGCTTGTGGAGCACGGGCTGGCAGTGGAATGGTCTCAGGGGCCTCCTGTCCCTGATGTTGATGCACTGGACATCTCGAAGCTTCACCCCAACACCACAGTTCTTAGAGCACTGCAGTGGGGGGGAGAGGGTGGGGGAAGGGGGAGAGAGAGAGAGAGAGAGAGAGAGAGAGAGAGAGGAAATACAGTGTTAATTCAAATTGCAAATATAATAATCCTAATAATAATCCTTGCGTTTGATACAAAGCTTTTCATATCGAGATGACGTCTCAAAGCGCCTCTGGAATAGACTGTAAAGTAAATTGACTGTATACAGTATTTTGTGGGCGAAACACAGCAGCCAATTGCGCACAGAAGCGTCCCACAAACAGTCGTTGATGGAGTAACCAAATTATTATTATTATTATTATTATTTTGAAGGGTTTATTCCCCCCGGAAAGCGATCCCCACAATGGACTTACAAGCGGGTTCCTACTTCCTGCTGGTTACACAGAGGCGTAAGGAAACTTGCCTAAGCTTTCGCCCCGTCCGGGAATCGAACCCGGCTCCTCCCGCTAGTGAGGCGAGCGCTACTAACCGGCAGGACTCATTGGGAAGGGTCTTAACCGCGTAAAAAACACCCGTCTCGCTTTGAGCAATGGATCATTAGGGGGAGGGAAGAAAGGGTCAGGAGGGACGGTTACCTTGGTCCAGTTGCCCAGGCGCCAGGCTGAGCAGGGCCTGAGGTAGCACCTCCGGGCGGGAGCCGGTCGCTGAGCCCTGTCACAGTCGGCCTCCGATCCCGTGCTGCACTGCACCGCTCTCCACACCGCTCCCATCCCACAGGTGGTGGAGCACTGCACGGCAATGGCACACAAACACAGCCTCGGTTACCGCAGGAACACACCGGGCGAGCGGCTGTACACCGCACAGCAACACTGATCCTCGCATTTGATACAGCGCCTTATCACGTCGTCGAGGCATCTCAAAGCGCTTCACAGGATACACTGTAAAACGTAGTGACTGTGTATTTTGTGGGCGAAACGCAGCCGCCAATTGCGCACAAATAGGGTGAATCCTCGTGTTGCTGGGGAATCGCGAGATCTTTAATATCCGTCTGAGAACGGGCCAAGACGGTGCCTCGATTGATCCGACACTCACCTCACTCCAGTTACCGGCCACCCAGTAGGCAGTGGATTCTGTGCTCGTTGGCGGGACGGGGCTTGTGAGAGGGTCGTTCACGGAGCCGGTTGGGATGGTGGGATGAGCCAGTGCTGTTGTGATGGGGGACCGGAAGCCACCGGGAGCCGGGTGTTTGGTGGGGACGGGAGCAACATCCCCCTGATCCCTTACGCCAGTCGTTTCAGTCCCTCTATTGTGTCCATGCTCGGGCTTCAGCTCTGTGAAGTCCGAGGCGACCATGTGCCGCGAGCTCTCCGTGGGCCAGAGCGAGGGGGCTTGTCCCGGTGGCACTGAGATGGATGTCGAGGGGAGTGAGGCCGGGGTCCTCTTTGCCGGTGGAGATGAGGTAGGTTTTGGCGAGATGTCACCTGCGGAGAACACTGGTCGCGGTGACGGGGGAACCGTGAGAGTGACTGAGCTGGGGGACACTTCCTGCGTATTCCTGGTTGACCTCGGCTCTTGGGCCGTCGCGGTGCTGACCCTGGTTTGGACGGAGGGACCCCAGGCGGACGGGAGGGCAAAGATCACGGGAGGGGCTGTTGCCGCCGGCGATAGAGTCACCGTCTCCGGGTGCGAAACCGCGGGAGAAACCGCAAATGGGACGATCGGGGCGATGGGGGAGGAATCGCCTTCCCGGTGGATTGTGACGCTCAGGTCCGGCGACCGGTCAGTGCCGCTCCATGGTTTAGCCGACCGGCTCAGCGTTTCTGAGCCCGGAGCGTCGTGGTGATCAGTGTGGGCCGAGGGGGATGGACTCACTCGCCCAGGGACTGTGTGAGGGGTGTTCCCAACCTCATCCCCACCGTCTCTATGACCGGTGATGTCAGTATTTGTGCCACTCTCTGGCCCTGTATTGTGTGGTGGCTGCTCATCGACACGCTTCACGTCATTGAGTTCAGGATTATTAACAACCACTTGGGTGTCTCTAGTTGGCCTTTCAGGCAGTTGAGTGTCTCTCTCAGTGATTGACTCCTCTTCTGAAAACCCACCCCGTGTTCCAGCTCCCTCTACCTTCCTCGTAGCTGTCGGGTTTCCCTCCTGCTCTTCGCCTTGTGGCGTAGGTGAGGAACCTTCATCGAACGTGAAGATTCCTGGGGGAGTAAAGAGCCTGGCGTTGGGGGCCTGAGCGGAGCTGGGTGCGGCTGGAGTGGTGACAGCCGGTGAGGAGTTAGCAGAATGAAGACCGGGAGTCGTGAAGAGTTGGTCGAAGGGCTTTGGAGAGAGCCCAGCCTCGCCGTTCCACAAGAGCCTCGGGTTTTTCTCTCGACTACCGAACTCGACGCTCGTGTTTTTCACAGGCAGTAACTCATCTTCCTCGTACATTGCCTCCTCGCCGATTCCCTCCCCCTCGGCGTCGTCCTCTTCGGTCACCGCTGGGCTCTCAGAAGTGGGCTCCTCCCCATCGCCAGGCGTTGAGGTAGCATCCGCTATCCCCAAATTCCTCATCCCTCGTTCTTCTTCTTCATCATCCACAGACGCTCCGGGCTGAGTCGGGTCCAACCGGTTCCCACGGCCACTCTCCTCTGACTCCTCTGAAACGTAGTTCGAAACGTCGTTGGAGTTCCCGTCCCCCAGCGAAACCCCCTCCTCGGGCTGCCCGCCCGCCTGCCCGTCCTCCCCGCCCGTCACCACCTCATCTCCATCATCGTAGGCCAGGTCCTCGTGGAAGTTGATGAAGTTGTAGTCGTAGTAAAAGTCATCCACGAAGACGTTGGTTTTGGACGGGCCTTTGCCCCCCTGACCCCCTCCGTCCACCGTGTAATCCCCCTCCACGATGTGGTTGTCCATCCCTCCGCCGTCCGGGGGCAGCCGAGGCCTGGGGGTCTGGGGCTGGGGGCCAGAGCCGGGGATCCTATTGGAGTTGTGTCCCTGCCCGGTGCGGCCTGGCCCGAAGTTCAGGTTGAAGCCCACCTCGTTGAACAGCTCCTTGGCCGAGGCTCCGCTGCCAGACCACTCGGGCAGGGCGGGGTCCTGGCCTGGGCGGGGGGCAGGGCAGGGCCGCGGGGCGCACATAGCCTTGCCAGGGGTCTCGCCTCGGGGCTGCAGGGGGCCGCGGTGTTGTGGGCGCAACGCACGGCGCGCTTCTGTGTCCCTTCCCCACATGAAGCCGAGCACTGCAAGAGCATGAGACAAGCGTTAAATCACATCCATCTCCACAACCTCTCCACCCACTCGCCACCAACACAGCGACACACTATTAATAATAACAATTTTATAAGGTTAATAATAAGGGCAGTGGAAATCTTGAACTCTGGACTGTGAGCCCAGATACCAATGTGGGGCTTGAACACATAACCTTCCAATTCAAAGGCACAAAAAAAAAGACGGTCAGTAATGGGAGCCAATCCTTGTTGATTTCATGCTGTGGCTAATCCTTCCCCAAGTCTCCCTGCTCCGATATTCAACCTGGATTCCCCCCCCAACCACCCACCCAACCTCCTACTCACCTGGGACCAGTTGCCCACCACCCAGTCTGATGGGCAGGGGATGTTGGTGTTGCAGGTGCTGGCGGTGTCTGGCCTGGGCATGTGTTGGCACTCGGAGATCGGCAGTGCCCTCTGCTCGTCCAGCCCGATGCTCTGGATACAAAGCGCCGTCCTCTTCATCACTCCCGTGTGGCCGCAGGAGGTTGAGCAGGCCTGCCACTCCCCCACCCACCACCTGACAACAACAACAAGTTACATTTACACTGCGCCATTCAGGTCGGGAGGACATCCCAAGGCCCTGGACAGACAAGGATGTGAATCTGAGCTGGGCGGGGCGGGGGGTGGGTGGGAGGGCAGAGAGGGTGGGGGGTAGGGGGGGGTGACTGAAGGTGTGTACAAAAAGGAGGGTCTTGAGGCTGGCTTTGAAGGAATCAACGGATGAGGTGTGGCGGAGGGATGGAGTTGTGGGATGGAATTCCAAAGGGCGGGGGAAGAGAGGCTGAAGACCCGAGCGCCGACGGTGGTGCGGGCCAGGCCCGGCGTGGGACGTGGAGTAGGCCGGAGCCCACCAGCGCACTGACCTGGCCGGGCAGGGCTCCTCATGGCAGCGTCGGCGTCTGTCATCAGGCCGTGTCGCCGGGTCACAGTACTGCTCCTCCACGATGCCCGCGATCCGCTCCAAACAGTGAACAATCTGCTTCTGAAACCCTGGGAGCAAAGCAACACACAGACAGTCACCAACTCAACCCGCACAGCACTCTGCGATTCCGATTCCCGACGTGGGGTCTTGAACCCACAGCCTTCTGACTCAAGAGACGAGAGCGCTGCCACTGCGCCATGGCACACAAACCACGTGGAACAACACACCCCACAGTCCAAGTTGACGCTCCAGTGTAGTGCTGGGGTTGGGTTACGTTGCCGGAGGCGCCGTCCTTCAGACGAGACACTAAACCAAGGACCCGTCTGCCTGTTCAGGTGGACGTTAGACCCCGCAGGGCAGCTGATCGTGGGACGTTGCTGCGCGCAAACTGGCTGCCGCATTTTGCCAACCAAATACAGAGTCACTGTGCTTGACAGTATATCCTTCTACAATATCAAAACGCAAGGATTATTATTATTATTATTATTATTTTTAAGCACGCTGTTGTCATTAACAATAAATAATAGACCGTTGTTCCCTGGCACAGAGCCAGAGGCAGGGAGCGGAGGTGGAATAATGAAGGTAGTGTTCACGGCATCAATAGACAATAGAAAATGGGAGGAATCCAGGTGCCTTGTCTGTGTCTGTCTGTCTGTCTGTCTGTCTGGCCTCAGGGCCTGACACACTTCAGACAGTTGGGCAAATGTTAACATTCCAGCTCATCCACAGACAAGAATCCACTGAATACCTGACTGTGTTTAACCAGCCTCACGTCTCAGATTTATTGCCCACCAGCAAGCACTCTGTTCAGCAAACTTGGCTTCACTCCAGGACCCACCCACCCGGCTTCACAACAGGCAGCCAAGGCTTTGCTCTGTGTGCGTGTGAGCGCGTGTGCGTATGTGTGTTCTGGTGTGTCTTGTCATTGTGGATCAGCCTGGTGAAGTGGTCATGCTCTCGCCTCGAAGTTGGAAGGTTGTGGGTTCAAGCCCCTGCATCGGGACTTGGAATCACATAGTCTAAGCTGAAGCTCCAATGCAGCGCTGGGTGGGGGTGCGGGGGGGGGGGGGGGGAAACGGGGGGTGTTGCTTTGTTGGAGCTGCTGTTCTTCGACTTGAGGTCCCCATTTGCTGGCTCAGGTGGATGTTAACTTGAATGGGACACAGGCGGGATGTGGGTTTAATATCTGACTCAATACTCAATCCTGAAAACAATTTCCAAACTTGTTTTTGGGGGGTGGGGGGGGGGGGGGGCGCGCGGAGAGAGCAAAGGGGAGACATCTTGCCAGCAGTGTGGCTTGCGTTGGCCTGTAGCAACCTGGAGTGTGGCATTCCCACAAAGCTCAATCCCAGATGCCGAGAAGGACACCGACCGGAACATCCCAAGACACGTGTCCAGACCACAGGATTGTCCCCCGATCTCTCAGGACAGATTCTCCTCCGAAATCTCTACAAACCTAAAGAGACGTCATCCCGAAGGAAAGTGAACACCAGCGCGGTCAGGACAGGCTGAGTTCCCCCCAAACTCCCACTCCCCGACTCCCGCCTCCTGTGATGGAAACAGCTGCGCAGGACTTCAGTTTCCCGTGTTCATTCATTTGCCGCGGGTGTTAAGAGCCATCCATGTCCCTGTCAAGTGCAGTCACAGTGACTCTCAGCTCAAAAGGGGGCTCATTAACCGCAGTGCGGGCCGGGAGAACGTGGGGTTTCAGCTGCTCTTCGGGAAGCCTTGCCATCTGGCAGCTCTGCTTCGGGTATCCCTCTTGTCCCACGCGGACTGGGATGCGTGACAAGGCTGGCGGGGACTCAGCAGGAAATGGAGAGTAGAAGAGAGCAGAGGAGAGGGACGTGTGTGGGAGTGTGAGAACCATAGCCCGGCAACAAACCGTACTAATCCCCCGGCTTTTCACCTCCGCTAAACATTCACTTCCTCTCTAATCGATGCTACTTTGCCAAATGCCGTCTCGTGTTAATTTGCAAGACATTAACAATAAAACAATAATAACCCTTGTGTTTCGTATCGTCGAGTGGAGTCCTGTAGCTCAGTGGTTAGAGCACTCGCCTCAAAGCGTTTCATGGGGAATTGACGCCAAGTGTAATGATTCCTTTGACAAAGAAGGCGGCCATTTTCTGCACAACAAAGTCCCATCCCCACAAACAGCGGCGAGGTGAGTGAGCGATCTTATCTGGGGGATTATCGCCCAGGACGTTGGGAGAGAGAGAGAGAGAGAGAGAGAGACAGAGAGACAGATAGAGAGAGAGCAACTCCCTTCTCTTTTCTTGTATAGTGCGGTGTGATTTTTGACCACAGGTCCAGAGAGGCCTTGGGTTTAACACAGGAAGTTAACGCACCGATGTCAGGAAGGTGTTAACCGTTGAGAATGTAAGTCAGAGCGCGAGGTGACCTCCCTCGAACCCCAGGCTGTGTTCAGTGTGTAGAGAAGCTCTTGCATTCCAGTTCCCAGAGCCAAGAGTGTGCTGTGGCCTTGAACGTGCTCCAAGTCTTCCCACTCCAGCAAAGCCCCTGAGGCTAGTCACTTCCCTTCCTCTAGCCCGGCTTCCGCTGACCACTTCCTATCTTCCCACGTGGCGCCTCGCCACGTGACCGCAGCAGGTCGAGTCGATACGTCACGTGGGCCGGGCGCCAAACAGGGAGGACGATTAGTTAGTGACCGTTAAGTTAGTCGTGTTAGTTGTATCAATGACGGTTCCTCACCACCCCCACAGGTCGCTGTGCACTCCGTCCACAAGCCGTAGCGCCAGAAGAACTCGGGCGGCTGAATTTCGTTGTCGCTGTCCAGGTCGCGGCGGATCGTGTATTCAAAACGCACTCCCGGGTTTGTCTCCTGGAACAGCAGCTGTGGGTGGGGTGGGGGGAGGTGGTGGGTGGAAATGGGTGAGGGGGAGATCAGAAACACACACAATTATACAAACATATACACACACATATAATACTTCAGTTCAGTGGGGAATGGAAAGGTTTCCACATGTCGACAGATGTTTGCTTGGATTAATGAGCTGGCGTTGGCAGTGCCATTAATAAGTGGCTGACTCTCTACAATTACCTGAATCCACACGGGTTCCTTGGTGGGACCGGGAGACGTCAGGTTCTCCAGATTGCCGTTCCTCTCGTAGGTGAAGGTTGTGCCAGCGACCTTGTAGTCCCCGTTCCACTGGATTATCCAGTCGCCGTTCAGGAAATACTTCTCGGGGTCGTCGCTCCGCAAGGCCAGGAAGTTTCCTGCCTCCGCCACCTCCTCGATGCGGATCTCCCTCGCTCCCTGAGGGATCAGGCCGATGTCCACGTAACCTGCCAACATCCAGGAGGGAAGGTCAGGAATGCTTGCTCGCTCGCTCGCTCACTCATTCGACTCGCTGCTGTTTCACACCGGTTCCCTGCTTTCACCTAACCTTTCCAGGGCCACCAAGTTCACACCAAGAAATCTCTGGCGATCTCGGTCCTTCTTTGGCATTTTATTATATATAATAATAATAATACTTACGCTTGATTAGAACCTATTAGCATTGAAACATCTCAATGTGACTCACAATTTCTATCAAGTAATAATGATACTGATAATCCTTGCATTTGATATAACACCTTATCAAGTCATCAAGACGATTCTTATGGACCTATGTTCCAATTCCAGAATGGTTCAATGTTCCTGGTCACAGGACGGAGGTGCAAGAGGCCAATGATGTGGGATTAGCTGGGACTGTTAATAAGAGGCAATGAAATCGAGCCTCACCCAGGCCTTCGCTCTCGTCAAAAGTCTTCTTCACGGTCTCACAGGTGGAGCTGTCGCCCTGACACACACCGCAACGATCTTCTAGGGCATTGGAATCGATCTCGTAATCACAGCCCACGTTCTGAAAGAGAAACCTACTGTCACGGGAGAACAGAGCAGGGAATTTCTCCTCTTGTTCCTGACCAACAATTATATAATGATAGAATAATGATAAGAATAATAATCCTGGCATTTGATACAGTGCCTTATCACGTTGTTGAGATGTCTCAAAGCGCTTCACAGGACGCACTGTAAAGAGACAAGGTGGAATTTGGGGCCTGTGATTGCATGGTGAGTATCTCTCAGTGTAAGCTGGGCCTTTCTGGTGTGACGTACCTTACAGATGCCATTGATGCAGATGTCGCGACTGGTGTTGCCCTCATTACATGGTGTCCCATCGATCACCGCGTCCAGCATTTTCTCAGAGAAGTAACCGTCCACTGGGCGGCAATGCAGCTCACAGGGGTTAACTGAGGGCGAGAAATAGGGTTATCAAAGCAGTTATCAAAGTAATTTGGAACGGGCAAACTGTGTGGCTTTAGCTGGTTAAACCTTGGCTCTCACCAACCTGTGTCCTGCTGTCCCAGAGTTAATAACAATAATAATCCTTGCGTTTGACACGGTGCCTTATCACGTCGTTGAGACGTCTCAAAGCGCTTCACAGAATATACCATAAAGTGGAGTGACCGTGTGTTTTGTGGGCAACACAGAGCAGCCAATTAGATAAGCAGGGTGCGCTCCTCTGGGGAGAGAGAGACAATGTCCATTCCAGATGTCTGCCAGACACTGGGGAAATTTCCATCTGTAGGCAGCGTACGCATGTGGAACTCTTAAGTCCGCTTTGGATACTCTTTAAGCCCAATGATGGGTTGTGCTCGTGTCAGGCACACACACTTACTACAAGGCACTTACTTCTGTTGAGGACAGGAATCCATTTGTGGAGCTTGCCTTTGTAGGGCATCGAGTCGAACTGACTGCACTGAATGTGCCGGAAAGATGGGGTCTCGGTGACGCAGGCTTTGATGTTGCATATTCTGAATCTCTTCCTCTCACCGAGACAGTATCTGCCTCCATACTTAGGGCTGCGGGGAAAAAAACAGCAGAGAGAGAGCGAGAGAGAGAGAGGGGGGGGGAGAGAGATCACTGTTATCCTTTGTGGAGGCTGGTGAACGAGAGAATGCGATGGGGGCTTTTGAAGGTAATTTCTGATGACAGATTGATGAGTGTTTCTGCTGGATGTCCATGCAGGTGAAAATGTAGCCCACTCATTTTACTGGGCATTAGGTGGAGCAGAATCACCTTGTTTCTCACTCAACGCAATTCAATCCCAAGATCGCTCTCTAACTCTTCTGAAGACTTTGAAGTGTCCCCAATCCAATTACGCTCAGAACAAACTATTACCATCTGAAGAGCATTAGTACAGGTCACTGAGGATTCAATTCCTTCCCTTTGTTCCCTTCCCTCCCATTTGGACACAGACTGTTGTCATCTGTGCAACAGTCACAATGTTTATTGGATTCCATGGGAGCACTGGGCTGTGGCAAATGTGCTGTTTATTCCTTTGCTCTTGTTTTGATCATCAGTTGGTTGCATGACCAACCCAGCTGCACAGGGCGGTTTATTTGCCAATTTATTTGGCGAGGTGCGGAGAGCTGAAAGTCCTTTTTTTGGAGGATCAGTCGTTAAACCAAGTTCCCATCAGCCCATACTTCAGATGAATGTCACTGATCACGTGGCGATGACAGCAGCACCTTCAAGTGTGGACACGGAGGAGTGGGGTGGGGGGCAGGAAGTGCACAAAGTGTGACATGGGGCTAGGAAGTGGTCCACGCAGCAGCAGGAAGCGCGTAGACAGTTGGGATGATCATATTTTGCAAACCAAATCCAGTGACACGTACAAAGAAGCTTATCGGGGGGTGGATTAATGGCTGTGTTTCTGTGATGACTGTATCTGTTTTGGAATTTTATTGTTCTTGCTCAGTTGGCTGCTGAACTCAAGACGGGACAAATTTGGCCCCAGGGACACAATAGCTCACCCGAGGACTGTGCCGGGGAATTGGGTCACTCTATGGTCAATCTACAGTGGCAAGAGGTGCGGGCACAGGTGGCAGGAAGTGTGTAGACGGCCGCGGGAAGTGCGTACACAGAACAGAGCAGAGCATCAGTGTGTGTGTGTACCTATCCCACCTCCCCCTTCCTCCCTACAATCTTGGATCCACCCAATTCACACTAGGAAGAGGCCTTTACCTTCAGGGCAGCTTAAAACGGATCTCTGCTCCACGTTGCCAAGACATATAAATAAATCTTGTGTAGGATTAGATCGCAACACATCATCTCACCTTCCGGTAACTGTGCATTGGCCACCCAAATGCTTCACATCTGTGTTTCATTTGCAACACTCCAGTCTTTATTGAGCGGGGCAGGAATAGCTTTAACCCTTTCACCCAGCCGCTGGAAGACTTTTCTCAAAGGAAGGAGGGGAGCTCTCAAGGAGCTTTGTGATAATTAATAATAATAATAATAATAGTTGCATTTGCTACAGCACCTTATCACGTCTTCGAGACAACGTGGCAGCCAATTGCACGCAGCCGTGTCCCACAAACAGCTGTGGATTGAGTTCCAGTGCCATCCAGTGCAACGACTGTTTGGGGTTGTAGGCAGAATTGTAGCCAGTTTGAGGAATGCTTTGAATTACTGGGCAGCAGGCCTTGCTGGGAAGTAAAAATATCTGTAGCCTTAGACATACATCAAGCTTGTGAGATAATAAGAGTATTATTTTCCAGGAGAACTGCTCAGATCAACAGGAAACCTTTCCTATCTCCTGACTCCAGGCTAACTCACAAGGAGGTCAATGAGGGGCGGGAAACATCACCACAACACGTTCAGGAATGCTCTGTGGTTCTGCTTTAGTTGAGTGTTTGGCCCAGGTTTGTTCCACTGCAAAATCAGTGTGTTTGGTTCACCTCGGTCAGACCCCACAGAAACCAGGCCCGAAGCAAGGAGGAAACAGTCGGCCTGTTCCTACGGTAACCCAACTGCTGTCCCACCCCAATAGACACCACAACGGTGTGCAAGAACCAGAAACCAGAGCCCCAACCACGCCACAGCCAACCGGGGTGGGCAATCAGACCAGGGGGAAACACACTGAGGGGAAATGCACAACATTCATTGTACTTTATAGGCATCTCACCCACACCCCCCAGGCTCTGCCAATGAAATATTTTGCTTGGATGCAGTGAACAAGTGAATCACTATTAATAATCCTCGCATTTGATACAGCGGCTTATCACAGACATCTCGGATCGCTTCACAACATATATTGTAAAGTGGTGTGGCTGTAGGTGTTTCGCGGGCAAATGTTTTAAGTAACGTGATAGAAGGAGCCAGTTTCCAAAGCTTTGCTCCACAGCCCACTTTAAATCAAACATCCAGCCACTCAGTCTAAACAAAAAACAGCGGAAAATGCAAAGTTGCTCAACGAAAAAGTGCATCTGATTTCCAAACAGTCTATGTTGAGCGGTCGCAGCGTCCGAAACAGATAACGGGAGAATAATGTTTATGGTCAGAATTGTTTGGGGTTTGTGTTATAGTCAGAGTTATACGGAGACCATGTGTCTGTGCAACCGCAATGGACAGGAAGTGGGGGATGATGGGACGTGGAATCAATGAGGTGGAAGGCACGGACAGGAAGCCATTTTGGCTCATACAATGGGTTGGATTGGACCCGTTCAATTCCATTGGGATTCTGCACAATTGGGAGTGAACGAGGCTTTGTTGGTCCATTGTCGCTGTGTTGAATGAGAGTTAATGGGAAAAGCTTTGTTCTGTTGGGATTCTATATTTGGATTAAGGTAAACGTTTACCTTAAATGCTAGGATTGAGATGGGAAAGGCGACAGACAAAACAGAATCCATTTCCGGCCATCCTCAGCGATCTGATGATTATCCACACTTGTTTTGGGAAACAGTCCAGGAACAGTCACTAGACTTGAGAACCATTCCTGTGAAATGCTTCTGTGAAATCACAGAATTATAGACATTTACCACAAAGACCCCAGAAAGCGGTCAGTTGGCCTATTCAGTCTGTACAGTATATTCTGTGAAGGACTTTGAGATGCCTTAACAGCGAGTTAAGGGGCTATATCAAATGCAAGGATTATCATCATCATCATCATCATCATCACACTGCCCTGCCTCAAAATATTTCAAAAATTACAGGTGCTGGAGTGACTGCAAAGATTATTATTAATATTGTATCTGTGTATCCTGGGCTGACATTCTACCCTAATAATCCTATTCGCTGTCAACACTCTCGTAATTAACTCCATTCAGAAGACTGGTTTGCTCCCCAGCGTGTGCTGTGTCGTTGAGTCCAGGACCTGCTTATACTGAGACACCTCACTGGCTCTGGGTAAGAGAGAGTGGGGTGGTGGTGGGGGGGGTAATAAGCTTACGTGGGGTTGTTGCAGTGCCTCTCCGCGCTCTGGATTCCCGCGCTGCAGGTCCGGGTACACTCAGCCCACGAGCTCCAGGCCCCCCAGCTGCCGTCCGTACTCTTTGGACGCTGTACCGTTGATATGCAATTGCCGTTAAAGCACCACTGCAAGGGGAGGCTCAGCGTTAGTCACAGCAGCGAACTCATCCTTCGGCCAACTTCCAACTTAACCCTTCCCCTTTAGCTCATCCCTGAACTTTCCTTCCCCTCCCTCCCCAATGATTCCAATTCCAAGCTAACAGCTGGTTTAATAGTCCAGAGTAAGGTGATATTTAAAGAGAACCTCCTCTCAGGGTTAGCAACATAAAGGGATTTACCTTGTCCTCACTGCACTTAGTGCCGTCCACAGCGGCGTCCAGTTTGGAGTGACATGTGCTGCCCACAGTGCACCAGAGGGTGTTACAGACATTCTGTGGGTCAGAGGCAATGAGAGGTTATGTGTGTGTGTGTGTGTGTTGGGGGGTGGGGAGAAGAGAGATGGAGCAACAGAATTTGTATTAGTAAGCTCTAAATTTGATACGGCACAAAATCGAGACGTCTCAAAGCGCTTCACCAGGTTTGCTGTCAAGTGCAGCGACTATGTATTTTGCAGTTGAACACAGCAGCAAATTTACACACAGCGACGTCCCCACAAACAGCCGGGAAGTGAATGACTGATTGGATTGTCGGCCAGGAGAATCGAGACTGGATTTAAGAATTTGCTCCATGTCTTGTCGGGGAAATTCCTTCCCATCAGGGGGCTGGTGTGGATGGTGGGGGGGGGGGGGGGGGGGGGGGGGGGTGAGGTGGCTGGGGAGATATATGGGGGAACCATACACCAGTGTTGGGGAACCTTGACCCTCTTGCTCAGCACCTAGTGAAAGGTTGCGCACATGTGTGTGTGTGTGTGTGTGCGTGTCAGGAGGGGGTGGGGGAGGGGGGAGAGGGGGGTCGTAGGAGGAGAATGGAAAATTCAAACACAGCTGTGTTACCAGCCGTACAATAAAACAAAGCTCAGGCGAGAAAGAAATCCGAAACTCCAAATGAGTTATTTGTTCATTATCTTGTCATGGGGTTAGGGAGCGTCTAAAAATGCCAAGTTGTCAGCCGAGGGCAAGCAACAGGGTTTTTACCCTCCAATCCATCCCATTCCCCCCACTCCCACCCCCGATTCCATCCTCTTCCCCCAACAAAATGGCTAATGATAGTCGTTCGTTAATTCTGTGAGTGTTTAGGGGAGGGGGAAAGGGGCGTTAATCCCCTTCCTGACAGCCCCCCCCACCCCACGCACCCCCCACCCAACCACCCACCCCAGAACATTTGTGAAAATATTACACCGTTTAGAGACCGTCCTCAAAATTGTACACTTGCCTGGTTTAGAATGAAATGTTTGGGGTTTGGAGGGAGGGAAAAGGTGGGGGAATGGGGGAGGGTTTGTGGGGGGATGGGAGAGGGGGTGTGGGGGGATGGGGGAGGGGGTGTGGGGAGAGAACGAGGGTGGAGATGTGCTCCTACCCCCAGTGTATCAGTGACCGACTTACGTCCATGTCATCGCAGAAGCCAGACCTGGCTCCGTACTGCAGCCGGCACTGGTGATTGACATCGTACAGGACCCCGGGGGGCACGGACGGTAACTCCATGGCTTCCTTGGCGGGCAGGTCATCCAGGCACAGACCCCACCCCCGGCTGCAAACAGAACAAACACGTCACTGCCCAGCCCGGGTCACAGCGCGGCTCAAAAACAATTTCTTGGGCGAAACACGGCAGCCAACTGCCCACGGCAGTGTCCCCACAAACAGTCGTGGATTGAGTGACCGCATTTTTTTTTCTTCGGAGGGATTATTACACCCGGAAAGCGATCCGCCAATCGACTAACAACCAGGTTCCTGCTTTAACTGTCAGGTAAACAGGCAGGTGCGTGGAGTGAGGAAACCCGCCTAAGGTTTCACCCTGCACGGAAATTGAACCCGGGTCCTTCCGCCTGAGAGGCGGGTGCTCTAACCACTACACTACGGACTGCACTTACTCGAGGAAGCGGGTGATGTACTCCTGGCTGCAGCGAGACCAGGTCAGGGGGCTGGTGTCGTACAGGAGCTGCGGGGACATGATGAACGGTCGTTTCCCGATGGGTTCACAGGCGTTCCCGGTGCCGTCGTGCTGAATCCCGAAGCTGTGACCATAGAAACACAGCACAACGTAACATCAATAGTAATCCTTTCACTTCGTACGGCGTCTCTTATGTTGGGAGGACGTCTCAAAGCGTTTCACAGGATTTAAAATGATAAATTTGATATAGAGTCTTGTCACGTCGTTGAGACATCTGAAAGTGCTTCACAGAATCTATTGTAATGACTGTATTTGTGGGCGATTATGCTTTGGGAATTGTTAGCCAGGAGAGAGAGAGAGAAACTCCCATTTCTTTTCCTGCTGCGGGATCTTTAACGTCCGTCAGACAGGCCTTAAGGATGAGCTTAAATGAGCCAAAGACCCTTCGTCACCCGAACCCCTGAGTGAGGTGCGAGCGGTGAGAGTGATCGTTGGGGAAGGGGGGGGGGTTTGGATGTGTGTGCGTGTACCACGTACTTGTGTCCCAGTTCATGTGCAACAGTGAAAGCGAGAGGGAGGCCGGAGTCTTCGTTGATGTTGCAGCTTCTGTGCGGCTGGCACATTCCAGAGACGTGAGAGAGGCCCAAGGTCTCACACGGACGGTTCATCCCAGCACAAATGTCCTTCCTTGGCAAGTCAATGGAACCAATAAGCAAAGAGCTTGTTAGATAAAGCTTGTGGTGTTTAGAAAGCTCCCTCGCCCGCTATACAACGCAACGCTAAACCCTGAGATAATTGGGATAGCGCTGTAACAAGCAACCTCATTCTTCCACCAACTGCATCGCTGTCACCCACACATATTAACGATGTATAACTTCATCTGCAAAACACACAGTCACTACACTTTACGGTATATTCTTGTGAAGCGCTTTTAGACGTCTCAACGACGTGATAAGGCGCGGTATGAAATGCAAGGATTACGATTATCATTATTATTGCTGTCCGAATGTTGAGTCTCATGGCCTCAGACCCCTGCCCCCCTCCAACACTGCTGCTTCCCCCACCGCCCGCCCCCCTTTACCTTGTGAGCAGGATGGCAACATCATGGTGGGTGGGGTGAGCCTCCCCTTTGATGTTCATTTTCTTTTGCCATTTGCAGAAGTTCATGAGGGTGTTGTCGGCATGATGGGTGATCTTCAAATCCTCCTGGAGAGAGAGAGAGAGAGCACGAGAGAGGGTTAGTGAGAGGGCGACACACTGCTGGGCTGGAGGGACTATCCACACCCACCCCCCCGACCCCACTGCCCAATCCCCCCCACCCCCCGGGCATTCTGCTTTGATCAGTCCTATCCTGTCCTGGTTCTCTAACCTGGTTAAGACTTATGTGAGTTTTTAATGTATTAGAAACTAAGGAAAGGTCCTTTAGTGCACCAAGCCTGTCCAGCCAGGGCAGTGGATCAGGGTAGACCTTTACATCTCATTTTGCCCACTTTTACCCTCTTCCCACGCCTCACTCCACACCCTCGCGGAGGCGGGGGGGGGGGGGGGGGGGGGGTTGCGTGGGAGGGGGGAAGGGGACTAAGTAACAAAATAAAGTCAATTGCTGGAGACTCCAAAGAGGAGACGGGTCCTCACCAGACAGGCTATAGCTGTCTGACCTCTCCCTGCTCCCTGCTGGGATGTCACTTTCATCTCAGCCTCATCCCTTGTTCTCTTCACAAACCCTTTTGTGCTTTATATAAGGGGTCGTTGGCGGGTGGGGGGTTGTTGGGGGTTACACAAAAACTTCAAAGAATAGGCTTTGGTAAAGCAAATCATTGACAGTCGTGTTCCCCCACCTCCCCACCCCCGCAAAATCGCAGAAACTTTCACCACCTTTCAGCCCCATCGTGTCTACGCTACTGTTTACCCAAATCACCTTTAATTATTCATTCCACATGTCACCGTGTTCTCTCTCTCTCTCCCTCCCTCCCTCCCACATGCGCTCAGACTAAATCACTATTTCAGAAAATAATAATATAATAATCCTCGCATCTGATATAGCGCCTTATCACGTCTTCTCGACGTCTCAAAGCGCTTCACAGAATATACTGTAAAGTGAATTGACTGTGTATTTGTGGGTGAAACGCGGCAGCCAATTGCGCACAGCAGCGTCCCCACAAACAGCCGTGGATTGAAGTGACCAAATTATTATTGTTTTTTTTTTCTTAAGGGATTATTATCAAGCATGTGGAGTAAGGAAACTTGCTCAAGGGTCCGCCCTGCCAGGAATCGAACCCAGGTCCTCTCGCTTGTGAGGCGAGTGCTCTAACCACTGAGCTACAGGACTGCACAGTCTGGAGAAAAGGTCTAAATGTTTAAAAATTGGCTTGCAGCCAATGTCAGCAACATTTGCATGTTTTTCTCTGGTTGTCTCTTCGTTGCCAAATGAGTTTAAGAGAAATTATTTCTCCCCTCTCTCTCACTCTTTCCTCAATCTTTCCCTCTCACACATATTCTCTCTATCTCTTTCTTGGTCTTTCTCTCTCTCTCTCTTACACATCTGTTGTCTTTTGCTCTCTCTTTTCACCCCCAAGCTCTGATCTGATTCAAACAAACTGGCGTTGAGTGAATGTGCAAGACAGTGAGTGAGACATAACATGGCCAACACTCTTGGCTTCTGTCTCCAGAACTTCACCCTCTCTCTCCCTCTTGGCTAGTGTGTGTGGCAAGATGTGTTTCTGGCCGGCCACATGTGCCAGTGCTTCAAGCGTCACAAACCAGACTGAAAGTCAGTTCCACATGATGCAGGGAATCCTGGCTGACGTCCAGCCTCTCTATCCCAGGGGCGTTGATTGCTGGTATCAAGCCGAGAGCTCAGCCCTGAGAGAGTTGCAGCCTAGCCTGCGTGCCCTGTTCTCCCACCACACCAGCTCAGCCCCACGCCCTCCCCACCCTCACTCATGCTGACAACGTCTTCAGACCAGGTTCTTCTCAGCATCTCGGAGCACTCAGCCCTCCCTGCAACCGGGATATGAATTTTCCCGGAACGAGTATCACTGGCAGAGGAACTCCCCACTCAACCCTCGCCCACTTGGAACAACCGGACATCTGGAGTTGTGCTTAGGCAGTGAAGCTGGTGTGGAATCTCTTAAAGCAGCACAATACGGTTTCCACTTACACGGCCGTCTGTAGGCACGTCCGGGCGTCTCAAGACCTGCTTCTTCGACCGTGCCTTCATTCATCTTTCCTTCCCTACCCTCAAGCCCTCTCTGATCCCAACCCCCAGCTCGGGGGCAAACCCCTCATTGTCCAGCACCTTGGGATGACTTCCCGACGTGAAAGGTGTTGTATAATGCAACGTGCTATTGTTGTTCACGTTGGGAGGATGTCCCAAAACACTTGAAACCAGAGCATTTAGAGATTACACAAAGCACGACTGGACACTTCCACGAACGCACACGCACATTTTTTTTATATGCAAGTCACACATTTGGCTCAGGTTAACAAGAAGCCTGTTTACACCCTGCAGTCTGTTCCCATCCGCTCCCCCTCACTCTGCTGGTTATGTAGATATTTACCCTGCATTACATCCCAAGACTCGTGTACCTCGTATATAAATAGCAGCCACTAGCTGCTGACTATTGCAATGTTTAGTCTCCAAATTGAACTTCTCCCTTCCCCCCCACCCCCCCTTTTCTCAGCCGCGTCTTTTTTCTTGGGGTCAGATTGTGTCATAAATCAATTGGGTTGTGGCTGGACTGGGCTGGGTGACTGGATCCAGGCTCGCATTGGCAGCCAAGGAGTGACGTCCCACAAGTGGATATGCAAAGCCAAACCCTGCCTGGAGCACAACAGAGTGAATGTGTACAAAGTGGGGATGGTGCTGCCGCTGCTGATGGGAAGACAGGGCTCCAGCCAACGTGTAGAGCTGCTGCCCTTTCATTTCTAGGCCATGAGAAAGTCTTTGTTTCCTTCAATCTCCTTCCACGAAACACTGGGCTCCTGGCGAGCGTTTCCCAGAAGAAACGACTGCGTTTTTTTTAACAAACAAATTGGGCTCAACTAGACCTAGTGGGGTGTCTGAGCCACTGATCTCCCCCGTCCCCTCCTCCTCTCCCCCACAGTGTCCTCCGCCCGCCTTCTCTCACCTCGTCTTCCTCGAGGAGCACCAGCCTCACAATGACGATATTGATGGAGTTCCCGATGCTGGCGTCACGGAACAGACCGGCCACCTGGGAGAGAGAGAGTGGCAATCATCAGCACAGCCCCGCCCGCACCACAGCAACAAGTCACAGACATGTGTGCATGTGTTTATATGGGTGTACGCATGTGATGGGAGAGATGTATGTGCGCGTGTTCGTGCCTGCGTGCGCGTATATTTGTGTATTGGGGGGGGAACAATAATTGTAGAAAGCCCCAGTCAGCCGAGCGGTGGATTAGGGTAGGAGGAGATGGAATAACAGGGAGACAGCGCTCTGAGATGCTACCCAGCATGATATAAATGCAAATTATGGTCGTTGTTGGCAAGGAGTGGCAGGGTTTGTGGGTGAGGGGTTGGCTGGTGGAGGCTAGCGAAGGCTGGGGTGACTGGCATTGCCGAGTTCGGCACGAGCGAGCGGTGTGGAACATCTCACCATGTTCATCACGGTCAGGACGTAAGCCTCGATGCTCTCGTTGCCGTGATGTTCCACCATCTTGGAATCGGCCACCACCAGGGTCTCCACCCACTTCTCCTTGCTGACCGAGCGCTGTTTGATACGCCGTCTCCGCCGCTGCCTCTTCTCCCACTTTTCCCGCTGCTTCTCCGAATGTTCCTGCTTCCTCAGGGAATCTAAACGCGAGGTTTTTGTTCCCTCCCACCAACCCCCGCATGAGACAGAGAGGGAGGGGAGAGGGAGGGAGGGGAGAGAGGGGAATATTAAAACATCGGAAGTTGTGAAACTTGGGGGGAAAAGGAACTCTCAGTTGCTGAGAGGAGCATGGAGAGCGAGAGAGAGAGCGTGAGTGTGAACGAGTAAACAAGACCGTGAGAGCAAGAGTGACTGAGTGATTGAATGAGTGATTGATTGATTGAGTGAGTGTGAGTCTGAGTGAGTAAGTAAGCGAGAGTGGAGAGCACGAGGGACGGAGAGAGCGAGCGACGGAGTGAGAATACGAGTGAAAGAACAAGTGAGTGTGACACTGTTTGGGCACAAACCGAACATTGTGGTTGGGTGAGCTGATTAGCTGCTGTTTCTGTGGTTGGGACTTACTCGCTGGCGTTAATCAGAACCGTGTGGGGTCACAGCCTGGAATTTGTTCACTCCCAGCCACAAGGTCACTCCCACCCCCCACCGTGCACGCTCCCACCCGCCCCCCCACCACAGGCACCCCCCACCACCCCCCCACCAACTGGGACGCTCGCACTGCCATCTCTCACTGTGTTAGGTTTGTAACAATAACCACAACTTGGGTGAGAGAGCGGAGTGGAGCACTGTGGCACATGTTGACTCCCTGCACTTAAGACAGAGCGGAAAATAAACTCGACGCTGACTCTGTTTGCTGGACAGGAATCCAGCGACATTTTTGACTTTACATAGTCTTTGTGCTTGTTATTTGCCTGTAGGAGGGAGGGGGCGGTATCCATACATGCGGATTTACGAGACGAATGATGGTAAACAGTGAGACACATTCTCTGCAACACAAGATCGCTACTGTAAGCTCCCTCGCTATGTCAGGCATCTGGTGGCCGAGATCAAACCCGGCTTTGCCTTCCTTACAATTCTCAAACATCGGGAAGAAAGAGTTTGCATTTCTATTGTGCCTTATCGCATTAACTGGGCATCTCAAAGAGCTTTGCAAGTGTTTGTATTGGCTGTGCTTTTGCTGGCATACATGATAAAGGAGGTTAAAGGGGAGGTTCGGAGTTTCGTTTCTTGAGCAGAGAACAAGGCTTTGGCACTCGCGGGGAAGTAAAGCTGAGGAGCTCCGCAGCGCAGCGGTTAGCACGCTCATCTCGCAAGCGAGAGGACACGGGTTTGATTCCCAGGCAGGGAAATGCCTTAGGCAAGTTTCCTTACTCTGTTCTTCTAGCTGTCATTGTTAGTTGATTGGCGAATCACTTTCTGGTGAGTAATAATTCCTCCAAAAAAAAAAAATGTGGTCACTCACTCCACGACTGTTTGTGGGAGCACTGCTATGCTGAATTGGCTGCTGCGTTTCACCCACAAAATACACAGTCACTCCACTTTACAATATATCCTGTGAAGCGCTTTGAGACGACTCTCGACGTGACAAGGTGCTGTATCACAAGAATTATTATTATAATCTTCTTTCAGACTTTTACGATAGGTATTTTGTTCTAAAGACCCAATTGTGAAACGATGCTGGGATTTATCTGCAGGAGGATTTATGCGAAGGTTGTTATGGTTTAACGTGGCAGGAATGTTACAGGGCTGGAAGATATCATTGCAAACCATTTGATTGGCCCCAATGCAAGAAAAATGCACAACTGATTGCACACTACAGCTCTGGTAAACTCTTTGATCGATTTCTACTCTAATAGCTGACTGAATATCCCTTTGAATTCACTGACTGAATATTCCTTTCACCAGCTCCTCGGAAAATAGTCTTACCACCACCCCTCCCCCTTCCCTACACTCTTCGCACACCCCCACCCCCCCACCCCCGCATTCTGTAAACCTTGGCTCCGTCTGACTGAAGGTATTAATATTAGCACAGAGTTTGCTTCCATCTCCATGGAGGTATTGCGGGGAAACTAAACAAAGAGCAGGCTGGCGGTGGGTCAGTTTACGAGCAATAGAAAGGATAGGAAGCCCAAATAAAGAGAGGCAGCTCGTCCCGTCTCTCTGTATAACACATACACAGGGAGCCAGCAGTTACTGGATGATTACAGGGGCTTGAAAGTTCAACCAGTCTTTGCTTGCAACATCATTTGGTCCTAAAATATCTTAGAAACTCTTCCTGGGGTTAGACTGGCTCTTACAAAAGAAGACCCAGAATTGGATTCTCCAACCACCATTAGCCAACTGTCAGCAGCTGGTCAATCATTAACAGTCCCTTAGATCCCAATTCCGGGCGAGTCTGGTCCACTAACCAACAAGTGCTGTTAGTGTTTGACCGGTTTGTCCTCATCATCAATGAGATCTGGACTCATTTTAAATATGATTTGGTAGTTGAGGTACAGACCAGCCACGATCTAATAGAATGGCAGAGCAGGCTCGAGGGGCTGAATGGCCTACTCCTATGTTCCTATGACTCGTAGACATGCCCTCAACCCTCCCAGCCAAATCCCCGGATGGGGTAAGAGATGTCTGCTCGCTGGTGGAAGATAAGCAGCCAGTGTCTCACTGAGGGGAATGGAGACACGGTGGGGGAGGGGGGGGGATGATTCCCGCGCGGTGTTAGTGGAGGTACCTGACACGCCACATGTTCCGTGGCTCCTGCCCTGTCCCAGGTTGCTGTGGGAGCCGGGGATCCAGGTGTTGCCCAGGGCTGGAGCGTGACGTTTGTAAATCAGGTGGGGCTGAGGGGAACCGCCCTCCAGGGCCTGCTCCAGCCACGGCTCAATAAAATGGTCCTCACCCCAGAGTCGGAAAACTCCTTTCTGAAAGCGGAAACCGCAGAGAAGCTGTCACGCAGGAGCAGAAGGTCTCGAGGCTCTTTTCACAATAGCACCCGCACCATCGAAACCTCTCAAGAGCACTTTACATGGAAACAATAATAATAATACAGTCCCGTAGCGCAGTGGTTACAGCACTCGCCTCGCAAGCGAGAGGACTCGGGTTCAATTCCCAGGCGGGACGAAACCTCGGACAGGTTTCCTTACCCCACATTCCCCAAATCCTGGAAAGAAAGAAACAGCAGTAGATTTTAAATATAAATATAGAACGCGAGGACTCACCATCCCATGACAGGTGCTGATCGCAGCCACCCCACTGTGCTGCTCCTGGTCTGTAACCCTCCCAATGAAATGACAAGTGTTGAGCCTCAGGGGGCTGATGGAGGCTCCTTTGATGCCTCCGTAACGTCGCTCAGCTACGAAGCCTGGGGCGAGGAGGGCTCGGTTGACGGTCAGATTAAAGCTGAGATCTCGGCCGCTGTGCCTGAGCCTGTACAGCAGGGGAGGCTGCAGGTGGTCAGGACCCAGGTCCCTGCGGTGAAGCCGCCTGAGGTGATGGGACACATCGTGGGACAAGAAGTGACCAACTTCATTTACCCTGACCGGGTACACCAGCTCCGAGCCGGGCAGAGCACTGAGCTGGGCTCCTGCACATCAAAGAGAATATATATATATACATACACACACACACACACACAAACATATGTATACATATCTAATAATAATCCTTGCATTTGATACAGCCCCTTATCACGTCTTCGAGACGTCTCAAAGCACTCCACAGGATACACTGTAAAGTGAATTGACTGTATATTTTGTGGGCAAAACACAGCAGCCAATTGCGCAGAGCAAATTGTCATATAACATATGTGTGTAATATGTATCATCCACCCAGCCAAACAATAAAATAAAACAAACCCAGAAAACTTCTGAAAATCATTTTATATATTACAGTAAAACTCACACAAATCTGATCTGTATAAATCATATAATCCCCCAAGTCATACATCTGCCCAAGTCCCACTGAACTTCCTATTAATTTATGCAAGTTTCACATAACTCATACGCTGCATAAGTCGTATGTGTGGTCACAACTGACACCACTTCTGTGAGGTTTAGTGTCTATATATACTTTTTAAAAAAAGTTTTCTCTTGCAAGGGTAAAAGTTTTTAAGAGGTTTATAGAAGAACATTTTCTCAACCACCCGACCAGGGGAGGGGAGGGGAGGGGTGGGGGGAGAAATTTGCAATTATTAAACGAAGTTGATCTAAAAGCAGTAACAAAAAAAAGAGTTCGATACAGCGTCACATCATAAACTGTGACTTTTAATTTGAATTTTAAAAAGTCTGATTGCCTTGTTACAATTCCCCACCAGCAGAGAAACTTCAAACGTTTATTCACACACAATTGCTACTAAAATAAGTCACTCCGGAGAATCTGAGCCATAAACAAAAACACACACACACATCTGGGGAGACAGACACAGACAGACAGACAGACAGACAGACGGACTGCACTGTTATAATAATCCTTGCATTTTGATAGAGCGCTTTTCAGGTCTTCTCGACGTCTCAAAGCGCTTCACGGAATAGACTGTAAAGTGAACTGACTGTGTATTTGCGGTCGAAACGCGGCAGCCGAGCGCACACAGCAAATTGTCATATATTTAAGATATATATATGTGTATCATCCACCCAACCAAACAACAAAGAGAGCGAGAGAGACTGACTGCACTGTTGACATACACAGCATCTTCTCCTGAGCATTTCCCCTCTGTGATGCTTTTTTCGCACACACACACACACACACAGGATTAGTTTGCAGGGAGGGGAGACAGTAAGATAGAGTCCATACCTTCTGATGATGTCCCCAGGTCTCTGTGTGTCCTGTCATGAGCAACAGCAACAAGTAGAAAAGCAATAAAAGTAGTCAAAGTCTGAAAAAGGTGCTTTATCTTCCAGCACCATAGACCTGGCATGTTTCCTTAATTCTTTTGCCCTCTCTCTCCTCTCTTTCTCTCTCTCTCTCTCTCTGCCCCACTCTCCTGCATAGAAACTTTTTCTTTTCAAAAAAAACCCACACAAAACTTTACAAAGTTTTCTTTCAAAACTTATTAAAACTTTAGACGACAAAGTCTCTAAAGAATCCCACAGCTTCACAAGATGTTGTCTATTGTAAACTTTTCTTGAATGTATTTTTTTTTGGGGGGGGCGGGGGGGGGTGGGGGTGGTGGGGGTGGTGGGGTGTGGGGGAGGACTTACTTTTAGTTACTTAAATAAAAAAAAATTTTGCAAACTTTTCAGATTCCCCCCCACCCCCCCCCAAAAAAAAGTGGATTTTTTTTTAAACTCCCCCCCCCAAAAAAAACAAGACTTTTTAAAGTTAAAACTTAAAAAAGATTAAAAGAAAAGTGTATCCTCTCAGTGCTGTGGATTGATTCACAGATGCTGTCTGTCTGCTTGTGTTTGGTTGTGGGGTGGGGGGTGGGGGGGGGAATGCAAAAAAAAAAACCTCTCCATCCACCCACCTCACTCAATCCCCACCCCACCACCCCCAAAAAATGCCTTGCCTTTCCCCCCCCCCACCCCCCAGTGGAGGGTTAGCTATACCCCGCCTGAGATGCTTTGTTCCCCCTTCTCCTTGAGCAGTTCTCTGCAGTAACAGTCCAGAGGAGAGAGAAACAGGGACAACCCCTCGTCTGACAGTGCTGAGCAGTCACACACTGCCCCACTCTCTCCTCTCCCCCTCATTTGATCTATTTGCATGAAGCTCTCCCCTCCTCTCCCCCCTCCTTCTCCCCATCTCTCCACTCCTCCACTCCCTCCTCTCTCTCTCCCCCCCCCCCCCCCCCCACCCCCAGCCTAGCTATTAAACTACTCACTTCATTAACTTTTCTCTCTCCCCTCTCCCCCTTCTCTATCCTCTCTGCCCCTTTTCCTCCCCCCCCCCTCCTCCCAACACAAAGAGACTGGTAATTTTGCGAGCTACTCACTTAATTAACTTTTTTCTCTCTCTCAGTCTCCTTCTCCCCCCCTCCCTCCCCCCCTCCCCTCCTTATATGCTGTGACTTCCAAACTTTGTGTGTCAAACGCCCTCCAGCAAAAGTGGGACTGGGAAATAAAAAAAAGAGCAATGGTTCTTTGTGAGTTAAAAGAAAGGGGAGAAAAACAATCATTATTATTATCCTCATTATTATTAAAGCAAGACACATCCTGAAATGTCAAACGCAGTTTTTTTCTGTACACAGCCCTTAAATCCCATTTATCCCATTGACTTTTCCCATTCCCTCCTGCCAGGGCGTAGCTTTCTCGGTGGCCCAAGCTGCTTGTTAAACGTGTCTTTTTGTTTAGTTCCTTTGCGAACATGAGCCAGCGGTTAGCCCCCAGTGCCAGGAAGCCGGGGGTTGGGGGCCTTGTGATTGCAACCTTCCCCTTGGCAGGGGGTGGGGGGGGCTGCTACAGAACTGTAGCTGCTAAGCGTTGAAGACACTGTTTGTCCCCAGGATCCTGGCACAGAACCTGGTGTTCGGGAGCCACATAGTGGAAGGTACAGCAACTGCAGAGGTTCAACAACAACAACAACAACAACTTGTGTTCACACAGCCTCCTTCAGGTAGCTTGATGTCTCGGGTTGCTCCGCAGGGACTGGCTTGGATTTCGAGCGACGGGGAGGACGGGGGGGGGTGACCAAAGGCGCGGACGAAGAAGTAGGTTTTTTTTTTACGACAACAACAACAACTCGCATTTACGCAGAGCAGCGTCTCGGAGAGCTTAACCGTGGCGGAGCCTGACACCGAACGGTGGCCAATAAATGTGTCTTGATTGAATATTTCTGGGTTTACAGCATAAATCTATGTTTTTAAGGCAGGATTTGAAAATGGATAGAGGGTGGGGGGGGCGGTGAGGCAGAGGGGGAGAAGGAGAGAAGGAGGGAGAGGGAGAAGGAGGGAGGAAAGTAGAGGAGGGGAGTGCTTCATGGGGTGAGGCAGAGGGCTAGAGGTTAGGGGTATAGCAGGTAAAGGCTCAGCCACCGATGGTGGTACAGAGAGGGCAGGGGACACATATCGCTATTTGGAGCATCAGCCCTACCAACGTAGCAATTTACTGCTCCCCTCGAAACAATATTTACACAGTAGAATAATAATAATAATAATAATAATAATAATAATAATCCTTGCATTTGATACAGCGCCTTATCACATTTTCAAGACGTCTCAAAGCACTTGTGGGCGAACCGAGGCAGGCAATTCCGCACAGCAGTGTCCCACAAACAGTCGTGGATTGAGTGACCAAATTATTATTATTCTTTTGTAATTTTTTTTAGGGATTATTACCCCCGGAAAGCGATGTTCCAATCGACTAACAACCAGTTTCCTACTTAATGCTAAGGTAAACAGAGGCACGTGGAATATATAATTATATATGGAGTATTGTTATAATAACAATGACGTCTTTGAGACGTCTCAAAGCGCTGTTGGGAGTGGAATCACAGTATTAGTGACTGCAATGCCAACATTGAGGATATAAGGACCTTTAACTGTACTCTGGTTTATATAAACTGTTGGCTCCTCACACTGTAAGGAAATTACAAGTTTGGTTGTGGCTATTGCTGTATTGGATTTCCATAAACTTCACTTTAAACACATCCACGTTATAAATCTCTCCGACATCGATCACTCAACACAGGCAACAGAGAAGCATGACCTTCACCAAGGCCTTTAGGGGAAAAGAAAGTCTTTATCGCCCTTCATACCCCGAAAACGTCTTGTAAAGTAATTACTGTCACTGCGATGACTGTTATGTCTCCTGTAGATAAATGCACGGCCTGAGTTGATTAATCCAAGGAATAGTTGGGAGAAATTATCTTCTCTTTTCCGAAGGGCGTTTAGCAAACTCTTCCCCCTTTCTCCCCTCCACCCCCCCTCCTCTCTCCCCTCCACCCCCCCACCCCCGCTCCCCACCCCACCCCACTCCCCACCACCCACACAAAAGATGACGCCTCTGACAATGGATGTCATCTTAGATTTGAGTCCCAACGTGGAGGCTTGAAACCACAACCTTCTGACTCAGAAGCCAAATTGCTCCCCACTGCCAGGCTGACACTTGCCTCCCGTAAACACAACAGTTTCCACACTTCAGTTGTTACCGTTACAGATTATTGTTCTTACTTTTATTACTGTTGTTACTTTGCAGTTAGTACTACGGTATATAGAGTGTTTGCCCAGAATGTTACTCTCTGGAGGATGAGGGTTTGCATTGTAAAACCTGGTTAGCCTCAAGCAACATTTCACAATGACTAAGAGGCTCGAAAAATTAAAAGGCGTAAACTGCTTCACATTAAAAATTCTGCCATTTAACATCAAATAAATGTTAATTATACGGAATAAAAACATCAATTGTTGTACTCCTGGCTAATTATAATTGGAAATCAATTCAGAACGGGAGTGAAATTTGTATGTATTGTACAGTAAATCTTACCCTCTGTACTTTACGCTGACTCTCAAAGGAACACTTCACTTTAATTACCCTCAGTTGCTCAATACCAAACCATGTTCCCTCACTTGTAACACTTTACTGCCGGAGTGATACCACTTACCCTATAAACCCAGGACCTCAGCAGCCTGGCTTTACATGTGTTGTTAGGTTTCTTTTGCTGCCCACCAATGGACACTGGGTTTCCCTACAAATCAGTCACAAATACTGAACAGCCATAACTGATTTCAACCTGATAAAGAGCTATGAAAATACAATATCTATTTTCCCTCCTTATCTTCTTCCTGTCTTGGAGTCCCGTATCGTATTGGTTATCACACTCGGCTCGCAAACGAGAGGACCTGGGTTCGATTCCCGGGCGGAGCAAAACCTTAGGCAAGTTTCCTCCTCTGTTAGCAGTAAGTAGAAACTTGATTGTTAGTCGATTGGTGGATCACTTTCCGGAGGTAATAATCCCTCAAATACAAATTTGGACACGACTGTTTGTGGGACACTGCTGTGTGCAATTGGCTGCTACGTTTTGCCCACAAAATATACAGTCAATCCACTTCACAATATATTCTGTGAAGCCCTTTGAGATGTTTTGATGACGTGATAATGCAAGGATTATTATTATTATACAGTGGGTGAAGATGGGTAGGAGAGAGGAGCTGTACTTGTGGATATGAGTGGCTGAGGTGAGCAAGACTGAGCTGACCTCCAGTGGTTGGAGGCAAGCTAGCAAATGAGAGGAATGCTGGTTAATACTTTATTTGCGATACATTTTACAAAGAGCGCTGGTCACGCTCATCTCTCTCACCTCTGGCTCCTCAGAGAGTCAGAACAGAGAGAATTCACAAAGAGAACAAGTCAAACTCCAAAAACCTTCTCTCTGTGTCTCTGTCTGTCTGTCTGTCCGGGGTTATTAATTACCTTCGCACTGGGCGGTCCGTGAAGAAGCCAATTCTTTCTGCCCACTTGATATGTTCCTCTAATGGAAATCGACAGCTCAATCCATCTTTATTGCATTGTATGACAAATGCAATTTTCAGCCACAGGGATGTGCTTGTGCGAGACTGAAACCACCGAGTTTAAATACTTTTCAGAGGTCCTAGCCGAAGACAATCGCCCAAATAAAACTGGTCGTTCACTTCAAGGCTGCTTGTGTGACATTGTCTTGTGCAAATCTGGCTGCCACGTATCTGGGTGTTTGTGTGTGTGTGTGGTCTGGGTGTGCACGCTCCTGTGTGTGTGTGTGTGTGTGCATGTGTGTCTGGGTGTTTGTGTGTATGTGTGTCTGGGTGTGCACGCTCCTGTGTGTGTGTGTGTGTGCGCATGTGTGTCTGGGTGTTTGTGTGTGTGCGTGTGTGTGTCTGGGTGTTTGTGTGTGTGCGTGTGCGTGTCTGGGTGTGCACGCTCCTGTGTGTGTGTGCGTGTGCGTGTCTGGGTGTTTGTGTGTGTGCGCGTGTGTGTGTCTGGGTGTGCACGCTCCTGTGTGTGTGTGCGTGTGTGTGTCTGGGTGTTTGTGTGTGTGCGTGTGCGTGTCTGGGTGTGCACGCTCCTGTGTGTGTGTGAGATAACAGAGAACATTCACTGCTGAAAAAGTCTTTGTTGATGGTCGCTGAACAACCGTGACTAACTCTCCCCCTTCCCCGCGCTACAGTGATTCCAGTCATTATAATCCAATCAGTCGCTTTCATGCCATTTATTTACTAATCACAGTTCAGTTTGAATACAAAGCAGAGACCTCATCACCAGGTTTGACTGATTCCCATTAAAACCATAGAACAGCCAGTGTCATTCACTTGATTCCGTGCAAAACTGAGGTGCACAGATCATGGTTCTGTTCCCCCTGGAGCTCATCTGAGCATCAACTTCCCTGGGCTAGGGAGGGGGGAAATCGGCCAGGGTTTCAGCTCATCACAGGTCGTTCCCCCACCCCACCTCCCCAAAAGGTGTGCGCAAGTAGGTGGGTAGGGGTTGGACTTTGAGGATCAATTGTCAGTTCTGATGCCCCAACACCGCTACACACACACACCATGGGGGAATAATTCTGTAATGTGTTAGTTAGAGCACCTGCCTCGCAAGCGAGAGGACTCAGGTTCGATTCCCGGGCAGTGCGAAACCCTAGGCAAGTTTTCTTACTCCACATGATTCTATTTACCTACCAGTTAGTAGGAACCCGGTTGTTAGTTAATTGGCGGATCATTTTCCTGGGGTAATAGTCCCTTAAAAAAAAATGAAAATTTGGTTACTCAATCCACGACTGTTTGTGGGGCACTGCTGTGCGCAATTGGCTGCTGAGATTCACCCACAAAATATGCAGTCAATTCACTTTACAGTGTATTCTCTGAAGCACTTTGAGAAGTTTCAACAATGCGCTATATCAAATGCAAGTATTATTAATCTTATTATTATGGTCCACTGAAGAATGGACACTTAGGGATTGATGTATGCGTCCGAGGTCTAAATCAGCTCCCTCACTGGAGGAGAGAGGAACAAAAGTTAATAACCAAGCAAATCAGAGCTTTATATTTACAAAGTGCCAATACCAGTAAATAAGCAGCAAGCTGCCAGTTCATTAAACAGGTCATCCTGTGCCTAAATTGCAATCCCTTAATCCCTTATTGCAAAAGGGATTAAGGGATATGGGGATAAAGCAGGGTTATGCTATTAGCTGGAGTTAGATTAGAACATCAACCGTGATTGAATGGCGGGGCAGGCTTGAAGGGCCGAATGGCCTATTCCTGCTCCTACGTTATGTTATGTTAAATTGCTAGATTCCCAACTTTCAATACAAGCTGGCACTCACTGCCATGTATTATTTAATTGCCAGCCTGGCACAGTCAGTAACACTCTCACCTTTGAATGAGAAGATTTAGATTCAACCATCCTCCTTCCTTCCTCCACGTCGGGACTTTGAGCTTATGGTCTAGGCTGGCTCTCCAGTAGAACATTGCAATTATCAGAGGTGCCGTCCTTCAGATGAGATGCTAAACCGAGGTCTTATTTGCCAGTTCAGATGGACAACAGAGATCCCGTGGCAAAAGGGAGTTTCTTTTCTCCCTCCCTCCCGGAATCCTGGCTGACAATTCCCAGATAAAATCCTTTGCTTCAAGGCTGTTTGCGGAGACGTTGCTGTACACAAATTGGCTGCTGGGTTTGCTTCCAAAATACGGACAGTACACTGTATAGTAAATCCTGTGAAGCTCTTTGAGATGTTTCAGTGATGTGTTGGCGCTATATAACTGCAAGGATTATTATAAATTGAGTGCAATGTGGAACGTTCACTGATAAGTATTTTATGTGTGTTGTAGGTTTGTTTTGGGGGGGAGCAAGTGATGCTGTGTATACTTGTTTGCCATTGGAGACAACCAAGTGAGTGTAATAATGTGGTGAAAGTGAGAATGTATTAATGAGTTTCAGTTCAATTGGGATTTCAAGGATTTACATTGTTCCTTTCAATATCATTACCTCGGAAAAGTGAGCGATTTTTACGACTTTGTTAATTTCAGAACCTATTTGCATGACATTATACATGTTTGCTCAATTGCATTGGGATCCATTACATTTTTAAATTACATTATAGAATAAGGGGCTCAGTCGTCTCCTGATATCACTATGTTGCCTAAATCGGAAGGAAGCAGGCGCGATACAGCCAACAACCTAAGTAATTACATCCTCTAGGTAATTGCTGTTGGCTGGTAAAGAGTGTTCCAATTTAGCAAGCTGTGAAATACACTGTCAAACCGAATGAAGGTGAGACCATTTGAAGATGAGAAGGAAAGAGCAATAGACTTAACTGGGAGTTTAGAAAGAAAGAACGAGAATGAGAAGAGAGTGAAAACTTTCCTCTTCGACCGTGCTTTCGGCCACCTCTCCCCTCAAACAGGCTCAGAGTCAGGCTCCGCCACTGTTAAGCGCTCTGAGACACTACCCTGCGTGGAGGGCGCTGTATAAGAACAAGTTGTTGTTGTTGTGAATGACTCCCGTTCACATGCTCACAGATAAACAGGTGAAATATTCAGACCACTTGGCCAATGTTAGCGGTGCTCAGGCCACAATCCATCTTAATGTGTGATTCAATTAGAGCAGGAATAAAAGTCCATTAGAAAAAAAATACTATTTTTATTGTGATTTTCTTTAAGTTTTCATTTTTTTTATCATTATTTGAGATTTTTTTCAGCCGTGCTGTTTTTCATTCCTTCATGTCTTTTTATTACGTTTACTTTTTATTTGTTGCTCTTTTTCATTATTTGTTATTGCCATTTTGTGTTTTTTTACTATTATAATTTTCGATTGCCTTTCCTCAATCATTGTCATTGTTTTCCCGTGTTAATGTTTAAATGTGAATTTAATTGTATGTGTTGCTATCAAACCATCTTGGCCAAAGCTGCCGGGAACACATGTCGGTCGGGTTGAACAGGATTGTGTGTGTGTGTGATGGGCTTGGCGTTGGTTTTATATAAATAATAAGCTCTTCAAAGCTCTTCACAGGATATATTGTTCTGTGGGCGAAATGTGGCAGCCAATTGCACCCTGCAGTGTTCCACAAACGTTCTTGGGTTGAGGGACCAGATTATTACTTTCTTTATTTTATTTTTTGGATGGATTATTACAACGCAAAAGCGACTAACACACGGGTTCCTACTTACTGCAAGGTAAACATAGGCATGCGGAGTAATGAAACTGGCCTCGCGTTTCGCCCTGAGCTCAGGTCCCAGGTGCGCGGCAAGTGCTCCAACCACTAAAATACGGGACTAATGATCCTTGAATTCGATTGAGCTCCTTATCACGTCTTTGAGACGGCTCCAAGCGCTTCGCAGAATATACTGTGAATTGGAGTGACTGTGTATTTTGTGGGTTTATGAAACAAAATATTAACATAGCAAAGCAGTCGCTTCCCCTTCTTCCCAAAGGCACCTTCCCCCAATTCAGCACCTTGGACAGAGCCTGTGCTCACGCCCTGTTCAGCCCAGAAAAGACCCTCGAGGGAGCGCATTGGTGATTAACCTCTCGATGGTCCAATCAGCAGTGGGGGAGCAGTGTGATTGGCATCTCCCTTGGCCAATGGTCAATGACAGCACAATGGACCAATCGCCATTGAAACCTCCATTGGCCAATGGGAGATGGGTGTGGGGTGGGGGGGGGAGCTCAATGGTGATTGGCGCCTCGGTTGGCCAGTAGACGGGAGAGGGGAGGGGGAAGAATTTGGCCAATCAGCCGTGGTCCAGCAGGGGAGAGGAGGGGTCTAGCTAGGGGGAGACCAATGGGAGGGAGGCTGTTGAGGTTAGGCTGATTCAAACAGCGAGAGCCCGGCCATTGGGAGCACACACAACACACACACACACACGGGGAGAGTGATGGAGCTGGGGACAGACTGGAGGGTGGGTGGTGGTGGGGAAGGGGAGAGAGACGCATAGAGAGACACACAGACAGAGAGAGACAGACACAGAGAGGGACACTCACACAGACAGAGAGGGTAGGGCTTCTCTGCCTTTTCAATGCCATGTTGGTTGAAGAGACAACCCTCAAGCACAACACTGGATGGTATTTGTAGCCTTTTTGTGTCGGGAAATACAATTTGTGGGTGTGGTGGACTGAGGTGAATGCTTGACTCGGGTTGACACCAACCCCAGTGGGGTAGGGAGGTTTGTGGGTTGGGGTGAAAAGGATTGGGGGTTGGGGAGATTGCCCCCCGCTCCCCCGGACCTGCTATGATCTCAGAAGGCAGCCTGGCGTTGGGGGAAACACTCGAGTACATCAACCACTCACCCCAGAGGATGGGGGACCTGTCCAGCAACTCCAGCCGAGGAACTTACAACACCAACCTGTCCTTGATGCCCGAGGAGGAGAACTATCGCAACGTCGCTGACGTTACCCTCATCCTCAGGATCATCATCTCCATCATCTACTCCATCGTGTGCGCGGTGGGGCTGGTGGGCAACCTGATGGTCTTCTTCCTGATGAAAGTCAGGCAAAGGCGTAAGAAATCCACCATCAACGTCTTCATCCTGAACCTGGCGGTCACCGACTTCCAGTTCGTGTTGACCTTGCCCTTCTGGGCGGTGGACACGGCTTTGGACTTCAGTTGGCCCTTTGGAGACGCCATGTGCAAGATCATCCTCTCGGTCACCGTCCTCAACATGTACGCCAGTGTCTTCTTCCTCACAGCCATGGGGATCGCCCGCTACTGGTCCGTGGCCACGGTGTTGAAGAGCGAGAGACCTCGTTTCTTCTGCTCGGTCAAGTGCATCAGTTGTGCCCTGTGGTTGGCAGCCTCCATCGTCACTGTGCCCACTGCTGTCTTCTCTACAGTCAATGTGATCGCGGGGGAGAAACTATGTCTACTCAAGTTCCCGGCGAAGGATTTCTGGTTGGCCCTCTACCACCTCCAGAAGATCATCTTCGCCTTTGTCTTGCCCACCATCATCCTGTCCATCTACTACCTGCGCCTCCTCAGGTTCTTAAGCCAACGGAAGATGCACAGCACCAACAACCCCAAGAGAAAGTCTAGGGTGACCCGCTCCATCACCATCATCATGCTCTCGTTCTTCCTCTGTTGGCTGCCCAACCATGTCATCACCCTGTGGGGGGTTTTGGTCAAACTCAACGCTGTGTCCTGGGGCGAAGCTTATTTCGTGGTGCAGACCTACATCTTCCCAGTGACCGTGTGCTTGGCTCACACCAACAGCTGTCTGAACCCGGTGCTGTACTGTCTGATGAGGAGGGAGTTCAGGGAAGCGCTGAAGGAGGTCTTTTGGAAGATCTCAGCTCCGGCTGTGACCCACACCTGTCCGACGCGACCCCGTTCGGGCACCTTAAAGCCGGGGAACCCCGAGGTCCAGACCCGGCGCCCCCTGGACCTGGTGGACAGCGGATCTCGCAGAACGGGGTCTGTTTACAACGAGAAAGTGTGAAGCCCCCAATGGCATCCAAAACAGCCAATGTGCACAGAAAGAAGCTTTGTGTGTGTGTGTGTGTGTTTTGCGCTGTTCCTTCGCTCTTATCTGCCATGTTACAGGTGAGGGGGTGGGGGGGTGGGGGGTGGGGTGGGGGGGGGGGGGTATAACTCTGTGCGCAAAACAAGGCATAAAAAAATACCCAAACATATAAGAGATTGGGTTTCAATCCAGCGCCCAACCTTATATATTTATCTCTCTCTCTCCCCCCAATCTCTCCAGGACTGTACTTGTTCATCTCAGATCAGTATTGTATGAATGAATAAATGAATACATGAATTAATGAATGAATGAATAAATCTCTCTATGGACTCTCTCTCCCCTTCTCTCTCGCTCTCTCGGGATATATATATATATATATGTGTGTGTGTGTGTGTGTGTATGTGGATTCAAGAATTTTTAGATTCATTTACCTTTCAAGTTGGGTGTTGGGGGAGTTTAGGACTGTTTGGATGAATACGGTTAGACTACAAATGCGAGTGTGTGAGTGGGGTTTGGGGTTTGGGGTGGGGGGGGGGAGAGAAAGAGAAGGTGGGGGTGGGGGGCATATTATTTGAATTAACCCCTGAAAGACACAGGGGAATTGGACACAGTATTTCAGCCTTGTCACGGATTGACTGGCCATCTCCTCACCTGAGACAGAGATCTGTACCAGTCCCAGGCACCCAAACCCAACCAACTGCTTGTATATTTATTGTGTATATGTCAGGAATAAGGGGAGCTGGAGGGGGGGGGGGGGGGTTGGGGGCTTCAGGAGAGAGATCGGGGAGGGAGGAGCAAGCTTCTTTACATTGATTATAATGATGATATTTTAATAATAATGATTAGTGCAATTCCACCTTCCATTAAAACGTGCAATATTCCCAGCATCCAAAATCAACGTGACAGCAACGTTTGTGGCATCAAATAATACTATTATTTTTAATATTCATAAAATCCACGATACGAATAGTTGCATGCGCTATATGTCATGCAAGGATTATTATTATTTAGTATTATTATCTCACGAAATTGTGAAAAACAGCAAGGAGAGATTGGTGTCTGGAATCTATGGAATATTTCATGAATTGTAACGTCGTCTCCACTTGTACATTACTCCACTTGATTTAATGATGATGTCGATGATGATGATGATGATTATTTTTCTTCCAATTTGTTTTATTTTTTTAAAAGAAAGCCTGTAACCTTATTTAAATAAAGCGCTTGACGGGAAAACCAAAATGAGTCGTCTTGTCTTTCTGCCCCACCTTCTTTAATCCACAGATTAAAGTTTGCAGCACATTTTTTTTTTTTTTTTTGCAATCTTATCTTGAACATTTCCAGCCTCCACTTTGAGCAATGTATTGCACGAGTTGCTTTGCCATGTAAATTTCTGTTTCTAACCCCTGGGGTGGTTTTTTTTTTGCAATCCTGCAGAATAAATAGCCTGCAGAATGAATAAAGCTCAGGAAACGTCATCTGAAGTAAAATATTTTGTTAACATTTTCCAGGAAGAAGCTTTTTCTTTCGCTGAATTGGGTGGATAGTTGCGTATTTCTCTCTCTCTCTCTCTCTCTCCTCTCCCAAATTTCCAGATGAGCAAACAGATGTGCTCACCATCTGTGTGGAGGGAAGTTGTGCTCATGATCACCGCCTGGCGGTGGGAATGACTAACGGTGCAGAGAGGTCCCATTGCCCCCAACGACCCCCAATCCCCCTCAAATCTCAATCCATCCAAGTCTCACAGATACACGGAGAAGAAAGAGGGAGATAGAAGCCCAGAGTCCCATCACGTTCCGAGGATCCCCCACCTCACACCTGCACATCTCTCGTACGCGTCTCTCCGCTCCAGAGAGAGGAACTTGCCCATTTTGGTTTGCCAACGTCACCTACAGTATTTTGCACATCTTCCTCTGCAAGCAGGCGCCGCTCCAGACATTTAATAGGGGGTTGCAAATCGGTTCCAAGAATAACTCTAGAATAACATCCTGACACTGTTTAACTCTCGAAAAAAAAACCCATCTAGGCTGTCTTTAACTCTGGAATAACATCTGGAACGCGCTCATCTCCAGACAACAACTGTTCTGTGTTTGCCTCTATTCAGCCTCTCAGCCCCGAGGCTCTGGAACTCCATCCCCAGTGCCTTCGCCGCCTCCTCCCTTTCCTCCTTCAAGGCCGGTCTCAAGACCTTTCTCTTTGACCGTGCCTTCAGCTCCCCTCTCGACTCTCTACCCCCTCCTCGCTCCCTCCCTTCCCTCCCCTCACCCTTACCATTTCCCCCCAATGCTCGCGTCCTGACCCAACTGTACAGCGCCTTGGGACGTCCTCCCGACGTGAAAGGCGCTCAATAAATGGAATCTTGTTGTTGTTGTTGTTTGGAGCAAACTGTTCCAGTGCAATATTTTTACAGGGTTTGGGGCTATTGAAAACATTTGCTGAGGGAGGGGGAAGAGGACATTACATTACATTACATTCTTCCTATAACATTACATTGAGACAGAGTGTGGGTGTGTGGGTGATATAGAGGAGTCAATTTGATGATACTATAATTTGTGAAGCAATGAATAAATGACTGAGAGAGATAAGAACAATGACTTACGCTGTTAAATCTGTGCAACTCTAGTCATTTCAAAATGAATTGGTCTGTCGGGAAGCTTTTTCCATTACTACCAATATCACATTTTTACTTTAAAATTACTTAAATTTTTTATTAAACATATAAAAATAAGATCATGAAAAGCATGTTCTCCCTACTCCACTCACACACTTCTCTGAAATACTATAGTAAGATAGAAGTGTATCATTGAGTTGAACTTGATATACGACAAATTCATATTTTATGGTGATTTAATAGTTAATATGCTTTTCTGCATTACTCAGCACATTAACATTTAATGTCGCCATTATATCGTTTGTCAACGAGATGAAGTCAATGCTGCACCTCAGGCGCTGAAAGCATTTCAATCGATGGTTGCATCACCCCAACTTACTAAGCCAGTCTGGAACCTTGGCGTCTTGTTTAACCCTCAACTATCATTTCTACACCACATCTGCGCCATGACCCGCTTTGCCTTCCCCACCTCCACAACATCGCCCGGCTCCGCCCCTGTCTCACACCGCAGGCTGCCCAAACCCTCATACACGCTTTCATTACATCGAGGCTTGACAATGAAAACTCCTTGCTTGTCGGCCTCCCCAACTCCTCCCTCCATCCAGAACCCGCACCAGGCTCGATACCTTCAAAGCCCTGCATGGTCTTGCTCCCCCCTACCTCTGCCACCTGCTAACCCCTTACCATCCTGCTCACTCCCTCCGCTCAGCGGGCTCCGGCCTGCCTCATGTCCCCCGCCTCGCTCGCCCCACTATTGGCGGGCAGGCCTTCTGCCACTCTGCCCCCATCCTCTGGAACTCCAGACCGCAGTCCCTCCGCCTCACCCCATCCCTTGCCTCCTTCAAGACCCATCTGAACACACCCCTTTTCGAAACGTGTTCTCGATCATCCTGCTTCCCCCCCCTTGCCCTCCACCCTCCCCGACCCCCAGCTTGGGTCTGTCAAGCGCCTTCGGACGTCCTCCAGACGTGAAAGGCGCTTTACAAATGCAATTTGGTTTTGTTGTTATTTTATTCGCCACATACAAATTTAACCAGAATAGAAGTGGTGGATTCAGAATAAAATCCAGAATGTCTGGTGCCTGGTGCACTTTAGAGATCTTCTGAGAGGAGCCTAACATTCTTTCTACTCCTTAAGTTGGTAGAGATTTCCCAACAACCCCAACCCAATAAGAACATAAGAATTGCTAGATGATAGAAGACCAAGATCCACCCAGTTCGACTTCCACCATCCTGGGAGTCGCATTGCACATGTCACGTCCCAAACTATACACCTACTGTTCCCACCCTGAGATGTTGTTTCCCAACAGAAATCTATCTCACGTGTTTTTCAAATAATCAACACTTTCTCTTTCCACCGTCTCCCGAGTGAGTCTGTTCCACACGTTTACCACTCGTCCGCTGAGATGGTGTTTCCGCAGATTTGTCTTGAATTTGCCCCCACCCTAACCCCCCCCACCACCCCCCGCCACCCCGCCACCCCCCCGCCACCCCGCCACCCCCACCCCGCCCCGCCCCGCTCAATAACCCAATCCCAACAACCCATAACCGCAAAACACACAGTCGATGGACTTCACAGTGTATCCTGTGAGGCGCTTCGAAACCCTCTGGGAAGGCGCGAGAAGGCGCTGTATCGCGTGTTAAGGATCATTGATTACTATTATAAACCCCAAACCCGCGTCTCACCGGCAACCCCACAAACCCAGTTGTTAGCCCCGAACCCAGTGGCCACCCTGACTGCCTCTGCAGTGAGTGGTCCTGATGCCCCCCACTCCCCCTCCATTCAGGTCTGACTGAGCCTGTGACGTCACCGGCCCCGCACTCACTCCAGTCCTTCACCGCCGGCGAGTGAGCGAGTGAGTGAGGACGGCGCATGCGCGGATCCACCTGCAGACGCCGCTCCTCCGCCGGTCCTTTCATTGATAAAAAAAAACCCACCACCAGAGCCACGCCCATCGGCTTCATAAAACCATCGGAAGAGCAGCGTGCCAGCCGCCCGGCTAGCTCAGTCGGTAGAGCATGGGACTCTTAATCCCAGGGTCGTGGGTTCGAGCCCCACGTTGGGCGCGAGTTCAATTTTAATTTGGAGGCTTTCGTTGTTTCCAAACCTCTCCCCCCTCCCATAATGGCAAAAAAAATTTTTTTTTAAATAATTAGGATTTTTATTCTTGGAATTTTTAAAAAAAAATTTTTTTTGGTGGGTGGGTGGGTGGGTGGTGTTTTTTTTTCAGACCACGAGAGTCAACTTTCAATAATTTGGATTGCTGGTCTTTTTTGTACTTTCTTGGCAATTCAGCACTTTTTTAAAATATTTTTTTAAAAGGTAATAATAATAATCCTTGCATTGGACGCAGCGCTTCGTCGCGTCTTCGAGGCGTCTCAAAGCGCTTCACAGATTAGACTATCAAGGGAATTGACTGTATATTTGTGGTATAAAATGATGTCAAAAGGATTTTTTTCTCCTTACAAATATACAGTCACAGTAAATGTTTCGCCCACAAAATATACGGTCAGTTAACTTTGCAGTGTATCCCGTGAAGCGCTTAATGAGACGTCTCAACAAAGTGATAAGGCGCTATTTCAAACGTAAGGATTATTATTATTATTATTGCACTAAAATCCTGTGAATCGCTTTGAGAACTATTGACAACATAATAAGATTCTATATCAAATGCAAGGATTGATAATAATAATCCTTGCATTTGATATAGGGCCTTATCACCTTTTCTGGAAATTATTATTATTTCCAATTACTCTTTTTGTAATCATTCATTTTCTAGTTTATGGGCGATATTCTCAGGGAATGATGGCAAGTCGAATTGTTCTGTCACTCAGTTAATTTCATATCAATGATGTTACAGATTGGACATAAATCCTGTTTCATACGATATCAGAAAGCGACATTTGGGTGCTGTGCGTGATACATCCAATCATGTATCACAGATTTCGCTCACAAATACACAGTCCATTCACTTTACAGTATATTTTATACTTTACAGTATATTCTGTGAAGCGCTTTGAGACGTCTAGAAGACATGAAAAGCACTATATCAAATGCAAATATTATTATTATTGTAATCAAAACAGATGACAATAAACCACTTGATCTTCATAGGAAGACATTGCATTTTTGCATGACCTTATCACATTGAAACAACAACATCATTACATGTGTATAGCGTCTTTCACGGCAGGAGGACGTCCCAAGGCGCTGGACAATCAGTGTTTCCGACCTGAGCTGGGGGTCAGGATCATGGGCAGTGGGGGAAGGAGGGTGACCGAAGGCATGGTCGAAGAGGAGGGTCTTGAGACGGTTCTTGAAGGAGGCAAGAGAGGGGACGAGGCGGAGCGACTGCGGGATGGAGTTCCAGAGGTAATCACTCCTACGTCTCTATTATATTTAAGACTTAAAAATATCTCTCAACAATTAGATTCTAAACTTTAATTCAGTCATTAATCAATGAATTATTTGAAGCTCTTAATTTGATTTCAGTTTACTGGGTATTCACTGCTATATTCTCCGTTACATTTCATTTTTGTCTCTTAAATATAAAGTTGGTCTTAATGACTATATAAGTGATCTTACAATTAAATGCTAAATCAAGATGATAGCTATTATATATTTTTGCATTTAAATTAGTCAATTAAATCCTATTGCTGTCATTCTATTTCTGACATTACAAATGAAGTTTAGATCAGAGCACCTGGAATAGTTTATTTGGTTAATAGAGAATAATATTTACTAACACAATATTAATCAGTTACATTGATTTGTATTCACAGCACACGAGTTACAACGCAGCCGGTGTTTTGTTTGTCAAGCTTGCGAGAATCAACAACAACAACAACAACATCACATTTGTAAATCTCAGGATCTGCTCTGAAATACACAAAGAAGAATGAAGAGGCGAGTTCGGTTGTGAGAATGAGCTTTATTTTATTGTATGGTAAGTCATATATATATATATATATATATAAGGCACCATATTCGACCTTGACCATGGGTCTGTGAATGAGCTCTGAGATGCTACCCCCAGTGAAGGGTGCTATATAAATGCAGGTTGTTGTTGAATATGCAGTCACTACACTTGGTAGCAAATAACGGTGAAGTGCTCTGAGACGCTTCGACATTATATGCAAATATTACTTCCACTTTCCCACACCCCTAACCTGCATCTACCCACAGCCCACCCACCCACTGCACACTCAGGCACAGCACGGTTCGCAGAGCTTGGGTCGGGAGAACTGCAACTCCCAGGATGCAGTGGGGGGGGGCGGACGGAGCATGCGTGGTTTGATGCGGAGGGAAGGGCGCGAGGCACGTTTGCGCCGCGACGTCAGCGCGCGCGGGGTGTTGTGGGAGGGGGGGGGGGCGGGGAGAGGGTGGCGGGGGGGAGGAGGTGGCGGTTTGGCGGCCGCTCTCTCTCTCTCTCTCTCGCTGGGCTCGGGCTGGGCTCGGGCTGGGCTCGGCTCGCTGGTCCCTCAGGCTCTCGGTCACCTGGCGGCGCCGCGATTATGGTCCGGGCGGCGAGGGGGTGGATAGGAAGCCGCGTTTAGAGCGAAGGAGCACGGTTTGACTTGATGGCTCCGAAACTGGACCCTAGGCCTAAATTTCAGGAAGGTGAGAGCAGCGCGCGCCTCACCGCCCCCCCCCCCCCACCCCCCCCACTCCCCCCTCACCGCCCCCCCCCCCACTCCCCCCCTCACCGCCCCCCCCACTCACCCTCACGCCCCCACCCCCCCCCCCCCCCCCCACTCCCCCCCTCACCGCCCCCCCCCCACTCCCCCCTCACCGCCCCCCCCCACTCCCCCCCTCACCGCCCCCCCCACTCCCCCCCTCACCGCCCCCCCCCCACTCCCCCCTCACCGCCCCCCCCCCCACTCCCCCCTCACCGCCCCCCCACTCCCCCCTCACCGCCCCCCCCCCACTCCCCCCTCACCGCCCCCCCCCCCCCCCCCACTCCCCCCCTCACCGCCCCCCCCACTCCCCCCTCACCGCCCCCCCCCCCACTCCCCCCTCACCGCCCCCCCCCCACTCCCCCCTCACCGCCCCCCCCCACTCACCGCCCCCCCCCACTCCCCCCTCACCCCCCCCTCCCCTCACCGCCCCCCCCCACTCCTCCCCTCACCGCCCCCCACCCCCCCACTCCCCCTCACCGCCCCCCCCACTCCCCCCTCACCGCCCCCCCACTCCTCCCCTCACCGCCCCCCCATCCCCCCCTCACCGCCCCCCCCACTCACCGCCCCCCCCACTCCTCCCCTCACCGCCCCCCACCCCCACTCCCCTCACCGCCCCCCCCACTCCCCCCTCACCGCCCCCCACCACTCCCCCCTCACCGCCCCCCCCACTCCTCCCCTCACCGCCCCCCCCCACTCCTCCCCTCACCGCCCCCCTCCACTCCTCCCCTCACTGCCCCCCCACCCCCACTCCCCTCACCGCCCTCCACTCCTCCCCTCACCGCCCCCCACCCCCACTCCTCCCCTCACACATACACACACACGCAAACATACATACACCCACACACACACACACACATACATACACACACACAAACATACACACACATGCATACATACATACACAAACATACATACATACACAAACATACATACATACATAAACACACACATACATAAACACACATACACACACACATACATACACACACAAACATACATACACACAAACACATATGCACACACACAAACATACATACATACCTACCTACCCACATACATACATACATACATACATACATACACACATACATATATACATACACATACATACATACATAAACACATATGCACACAAACATACATACACACACATACATACATAAACACACACACATATACACACAAACATACATACACACACATACATCATAAACACACACATACATGAACACACACACACATACATACATAAACACTCACACACACACATAAACACGCACACATATATACATACACAAACACATACATAAACACTCAAACACACACACACATATACATAAACACTCACACACATACATAAACACACACAAACATACATACACACGCACACAAACATATACACACTCATACACGAGCGCACATACACACACACTTACACACACACATACACAGTCGTAGAGATCTTGTACATGTAAGCCTTTGCAAAAAGCCACCGTTCTGCCCAGCCCAATCTCTCTTAATTTGGAGAGAATTTTTAAAATAATAAATAATAATAATAATCCTTGCACGTACATCTTCAAGACATCTCGAAGCACTTCATACCATATTACTGTAAAAGTGGATTGACTTTAATCGCCTTTGATATACAGTATCTCCTTTATCGTGTGCTGAGACATCTGCTGTACCAATTCCAGGTCTGCCGATGTTCTATCAGCTTGCCTGGAAAACATCAGGGCTTGGATGAGTGCAAACTTCCTGCAGCTGAATGTGGACAAGACGGAAGCCATACTCCTTGGCTCCCGTCAATGTTTTCACTCCTGTGGATCTGAACTCAACCTCCCTGGGCCCTCAGACTCACCGAACCCGAGCGCAATCCAGGCGTTAGGTTCAATTCCCAGCTGTCCTTCCTCCCCCACATCCGGTCCCTCACCGGCCTCCTGCTCGTCCCTCGCAACCTCCACCCCACCATCGGAGGTCGTGCTTTCAGCCACTACGCCCAGAAACTCTGGAACACTCTCCCTCAATCCTTCCTCCTTGCCCCCTTCAATTTTATGATCTGAACAGAATGTCATCTGCCTGACCCACCCATGTTAAACTGCCTTTTCTGGAAGTTCAATTGAATGTTAAAGATGAAAGGACTGGAGAGTTCTCCCAGTGGTTTGCTGATGCTTCTTCCACATCAACACTCCAGTCAATGTTCCTCCCTTAGCTAAACATGTGAACATCACTCATTCTTTAAGCCAGAAAGAGCCTGATCATGCATCTCATTTAGTTCAAGAGTTCTAGAATATAGTGAATGTACCGCGCAGAAGGTTGTAAGATGGAGAATTAAATGGGATATTTAAAAGACAGATGGATAAGTACTTGTGAGCTAAGTGTAGTAAGGAATATGGAGAAAAAGTGGGGCAACGGGATTAAAAGATCTGAGATGATCTGATATGGTAGCACCAGCTGCGAGGCTGAAGTGCCACCTCCATTTGTTCTGTTACCATTTAAGCTGCTGCACTTCAATAGTCATTGTACATTACAGTAATTCATTCCACAGAGAGTTTTGATGCATTTCAGAATGAAAGAGCTCTCTACTAAGGTACATTATTGTCAGTTTTGTCTTAACTGGAAACAAAATATATTACATTTTGAAAACTTCAGTGTCTGGATGCTGCTACAATCCACTTGACTATGAGAAAACACTAACCCTTCAATGTTTTTTCAGGTGAACGTGTCTTGTGTTTTCATGGGCCATTACTTTACGAAGCAAAGGTATGACCTCCAGCTCATTTTCTCTTTGTTCTTCTGTTGCTTGGAATGTTGTTTGTTTTCTGCTACTGAGTTCTGACAGAAAAATGTCTTAAAATTTCCCGTTAGTACTTATTAACTGTAATCCAGTGACATGAATATTCAATATAATAATAATCCTTGCATTTGATATATATTTACAGAATATACCTAAAGTGAATTGACGGTATATTTGTAGGCGAATTGCGGCAGCCAGTTGTGCACGGCAGTGTCCCACAAACCGTCATGACCAAATTGAGTGACCAAATTATTATTTTTTTGAGGGATTATTATCCCCGGAAAAGTGATCCGCCAATTGACTCACAACCGGGTTCCTTCTTACTGCTAGGTAAACAGAGGTGTGTGGAGTAAGCAAAATTGCCCAATATTTTGCCCTGCTGGGAATAGAACCCAGGTCTCTCACTTGTGAAGCAAGTGCTCTAACCACTGAGCTACAGGACTCCAGTATGATTCTGAAGCCTTTAGTTTACTACATCCACAGAAAGCAATGTTCAGTACAATTGGAAGTCGTGAGGTGCCTGCCAATGTGAAAAAGTCTCAGCACAATGAGTCTGAGCCACAATGAATCAACAGACTATTTGGTCTTTTTTGTCCAATTTTATCTTTTATATAGGTTTAGTCTTGTTTGAAAGCTAAAAATCAATCTTTAGAAAGGCATCCTCTTATTGATTCTGGTTACCTTGACTTGCTGAGGCATCTTAAGAAGTGCGATTTCCTGGGAGGCTGTTGAGGATGGGGGGGTGGGCAGGTTGCGGTTGTTCTGTTTAGCAAACTTATTATGATTGTCTGGAGTTTTGGAAGACAAATGCTGAGACTAACTCCCCTAACTCTTGTACTTTCCAGCTTAACGTCTGGGATTTATGAATCATTACCTTGACATTTATTCCGAGCATGCAGTGATGTGCGGTCCCNTTTTTTCTGATGCTCACAGCATCCGTCAGTTGCTCTATATTATTGACTGTTGATGTCAGTCTCTGTAACCTAATTCAATAGACATTTTTTTGTTCAGCGCTTCAATCTAAGGATAGTATCAAGTGTTGCTTGGAGAGCGAGTGGTAAAACATTGGTCATAATCCTTCCAGCTGAACTGTGGATTTTGTTCGTGATGAATTTAATAATCAGGCATTGTTTTTTTTCCCTCTTTTACACTTCGTAGTGTGTAAGGGTTGCTGTAAAGGACAAACAAGTGAAGTACTTCATACATTATAGCGGCTGGAATAAGAAGTAAGTACAAAATATACAGAATGAATGTGGTAACAAATTGCTTGATTAATACAAACGAGAGAGATTATCTACGTGGTGTGTGTTTTGTGAGGAGTGGTATAAGGTGAAAGATTTGACATTGCCTTAAACCAGACTGGTTTGCAGCAATCGTTGGGACCAGCCCTTTCTTAGTCAATAATAGGACTTTGAGATGCAAACTTGAGCTCTGTAAGGCAAAGCTTGGGTGGGTAGATTTATTCCAGGGTAAATGATTGAAAGTTCTTTTGTGCTTCTAGTTGGCTGACTGATGTAAGAGCATGCCATTTCAGCAAAAGAATAGCAAAGGGGGACTTAGAAAGCTTTTGGTTTTAGAAAGAGGAGTTTTTTTGTTCATTCATATTGACCACAAAAATCTGTAATGTTCTTTGAACGTGTCATATTCCAGGAAGAGTTCTTTTGATCCATTATCCACAACGAACAGGTGGAAATACTGTGCTGTGTACATAATTGTTTTTTTTCCATTCCCATTTATACAGTTTTAATGTGTATTGTCTTCAAGGTTGCAGGTACTGTAAAGACTTAAGCCTAGCTACAGTACTTGTACATAGTGTAAAAAGAAGTAAGGACTCGGATTTGCTGCGTGATGGTATTACAGTGGTAGATTGTTTAATTTCAGTCTTAATCCTTTTTGTGTTCTCCTTTGCTCTGAAAATATACATTTGTTTGGCGAACTAGTGTCTGAACACGAGGTAGAGTTCCACATAGGTTTACCACCTATGTATGAAAATTCCTCTGTGTATGGCATGTAATGTAACGTGCTTGCACCCTTCTTACCCAATCCCAGAAAGTATTAGGTGCAAGTTGGTAAGAGTCAAGCCTTGGGGACCCCATAGTGTGTGTTTGGGTAGCTACTAAAGCTTAATCAGCTAAAAGCGAATAGCTTGCCTTTGAGACTGTCTGGCAAGCTTCCAGCTGTTTATCTTGCTGCCTGTTAGTGCTTTGGCTTGTAGGGTTGACAGGGGTGGAGGTTGAAGAATCCCTGGCTGCAACCCCAGGGAAGCCCCACTTACCTTCTCACTCCCACCCCCACAATCCCCCGGAGAATAGTCCTCTGAAAAGAAGTGGCTAGGGAGTGGTTTTGAAGTGATGTCATTTAAAACCCTATGAATGGTTTTCTCTCAAACCAAGAAAAAATTCATACAATTCTAGAGTTGAACATTGAAGGTTATATGATGCGATTCAAGTTGCACAGTAAATACTGAGATAAGTCTGAAGGTGTGTTGGGGGGGGAGTGGTACATTGTCCAGTGGAAGGTAAACAAAGGGACGTGACTTTAGTACTAAGAAAACCTATTTTGCAATTGGTGATTCCTTTTTGTGTGTTGTTTTCTCTCTTGATTTTTAGCTGGGATGAATGGGTTCCAGAGAGCAGGGTGCTGAAGTATGTGGACACCAACCTGCAAAAGCAGAAGGAACTACAAAAGGCTAATCAGTGAGTATAAGCTTCAGACTTGCGTGTCCAGGGGTTTAGTAACTCGCACATTCCCACTCTTTTTCAAATATCGCAAATTAGACTCCGGTGTCGGACTGGCTGGCACCAGCACTCGGTTTGGACTGTGTTTCCCTGGCAATTTAAAATTATTTTAAATCATCAGGGAAATTTTGTCAAACTCGTGTGCCTTATTCCTCTTCCCCTCCTCCCCAAGTTTATTTTTAACTGTTACAATAACAAAGTGATCCAGGAGCACAAGAGATTCTGTGACTTTACAATCAGATATAGGACTCAAATGGTCAGCAATCAGACCTGTTGAGAGGCTTGTCTTCCTAGGATCAATCAAGCAATGTTGTGGTGGTACACTAAGCTTAGTTAGTTGATGAAGGCAAGAGTATAATATCAGAGTCAATAGAGGTACTGTACTCAGACCTAATAGGCTGTACAGCGATGCTCCTTGCCAATAGACTACATACTGATATCAGACTTTATACAACACAAACATAGACACGATGCCCAATATGGCAAACTGCACATGGTTTTCATCTGCCTTTGCTGGTTCCTTCCATTCTTACATATTTTGCTTGTGGCAATGATTTGCGATTATGCTTTTAGGAAGCACCATGATGTATATTACAATGCCTTTAGGTCATTGCCTCCTTTTGTTCATGGGCGTTGAAGTCAAATTTTCGTTCAGACTGTGGGGTTGTTACATTGCCGTGTGATAGCCTTACGATATCACACATGCCAGTTGCACAACGCAACAAACCTCCTATGAATATCTGTACTCTGATCTCAAGCATAGGTATGTTTAGCAACAGGATTGGTTCCTGCCAGTGAGCAGAGGCAACAGAAAATGATCCTGATATCATCGCTCGGCTGAAAAGTACCTTTCTGGGCTCTTAGATGGGATTGATGTTCCTTGGCGGCCAGGCATGTGCCTGTTGTATTGATCCAAGCTATCTTAGGGAAGTTCACCTTGATGTTACAAGCTGTTATTTAGCTGTACTACGTGCCTTTGCAAAGCGAATCTGTTTGTCCTGGGTCAAGGAGATGACTCTTGTTTTAAAACCAAACTTACTGCCTTTTTACGAGAACCTCAGATGATTGTTAAGAAATGGAGAGGATGTTTTTTGGGGTCTGATGTCTTCTATGCCATATAGATAGATTGCAGACTCTTCCTCTCTGTTTTCACTAAGGCTGGGTTGTAAGGGGGAGAGGAGAGGGAAATCATGTGCAATCTGTTAGAGTGCTCTGTGCTGTTGAACCACCTCAGCTCAGCTGTCTGACAAACGAGTCTAATTTGCGATGTGTGCAAAGGGATGGGAAGTGCTATTTATGATTGCCGAATCTGTCAAAGTAACAGAAGGCTGGAGAGCAAAATAACAACTCTTCACAGATACTGAATTTGCCTGAAGTGTCCCCTAGCCAGTGCTGGTGCTTGGTCAGCTAGGGTTCTCCTGTAATGAAAAAAGGTCATTATCTTAAATAATTGGGTATGAAGAGTTTAATCACTGAAGTTGTGGTCCCATTTGGAACTGCTGCACTAATGTCTTGTAAAGTCTCAGAGTTAATGACATTCTGCTGCTCAGGGCACAGTTAAATATAACCTGATATATTAATACTGGCCTGACTTTTAATACTTCCAGTAAATAGGAACCTCCTGCTGCCTCTGCATTGTGGCTTCGGGATTTCCAGAACATTGGGACCTGAGTATTCTGTCCTGCATGCCTTGCTGTCCGCTTAAAAATATAAGCAAACCCATGTCTGGCTCTCTTTCCTTGGACAGCTGCAAAAGTTCATGTTGCCACTGTTCAGGGGTTAGGTTATTCAGCCACTATGCTCCGAAACTCTGGAACACTCTTCCTCTATCCGTCCGCCTTGCCCCTTCCTTCCCCATCTTCAGATCGCACCTGAAGACCTTATCCTTCGACAGTGCTTACGGTCACCTCCCCGCTCTGCTACTGTCAAGCGCTCTGGGACACTATCCTGCGTTTGGGGCGCTATATAAATGCAAGTTGCTGTTGTTGCTTTCAATCCCTGGTGATGAGCCATGGATTCAGCCAGCCAGAAGCTACTGTGCCATGCTCTCTGCTGGAACTTGCAGAATTGGCAAATGGGAGGAGTTGTAGAGTTGCTAAATGATTTGAAATTGATTTCTCTTTCCCTCCACTTCCCCCCCCGCTCTTGCAGCCATTCACTTAGCGTGGAGTCCTGTAGCGTAGTGGTTAGCGCACTCGCTTCGCAAGCGAGAGGACCCGGGTTCGATTCCAGGGCAGGGCGAAACCTTAGGCAAGTTTCCTTACTCCACATGCCTCTATTTATCTAGCAGTAAGTCGGAAGCCGGTTGTTAGTTGATTGGAGGATCGCTTTCCGGGGGTAATAATCCCTCCAAAAAAATAATAAAATTAATAATTTGGTCACTCAATCCACGACTGTTTGTGGGACGCTGCTGTGCGCAATTGGCTACCGCATTTTGCCCAGAAAATATACAGTAATTTCACTTTACGGTATATTCTATGAAGCGCTTTAAGATGTCTGGACGACGTAATAAGGCGCTATATCAAGTACAAGGATTATTATAATTATTTGAGAGGGTTACTGTGATATTGCATGTAGGGTGCTTTCTGTTTTATTAATGGTACCTTTTTTGTTGGCAAATTCTTTTGTCTCGTTAGAGAGCAATGGGCAGAGGGGAAGATGAGAGGTGCTGCACCAGCCAAAAAGGCTACCAACATGCAACAGAAGAATGTTGAAATGTAAGTACAGAAATCTGCGGGGGATTTATGTAATTATGCCAATTTTAGGTCATCACTGTAACCAAATCGGCTTCCGCGTTTGCCTGCAAATACAGTCACTGAGCTTTATAGTAAACTCCTGTGAAGAGCTTTGAAACGTTTCAAGTGCAAGGATTATTCTTATCTTAAATGCCCGACCCTCACCTCAGACTTGTGGGAGGATTAGGAGAGAAGAGAACTACTTCAGCTGCCTGGTTGATTAGGGAGCCAAGTGCAGGGTGTCCACAAAGTCCTGTTACCCCTGTGTGTGTGTGTATTTTTTTCCAGCAGTTCACTGACCAACAACGGAAACATGTGGAAGAAAGATGATAATTATGATGATAATTGTACTTAGAACTACTTAATTGTATTCAGTACAAGTGTTTCACTATATTTAGATGTCCACAGGATCGGTGTGTGTGTGTAAGCGCCATCATTTTCATAGTAGATAATGATTTGTCGCCATGTTTGATGGAGTGAGGAGGCAAAATGCATCTCTTGAGTGCTTGTTTCAGCTTCTCCGTAGTCTCATATCGCTGTCATATCAGTACTACCAGTGAAGTTTTTTGTTGATTTTGAGGGCTTCTTTTATTTCACGCTGTGAGATTTGGCCATGATTTGAAACACAGAACTCTTTAGTACTGAGTTGGCAGAGGTAGCAAGCTGCTGTTTAATGAATGAGGATTTGATTTACCATTGTCTGACTCATGCCGTTGATGTGTAATGTTTGTTCGGAGTATACTTCGAGAGCTTCACTTGGAAGAGCAGCAAGCTGTTCTCTTGGGCCTCCCAAAACTGAAGAGTTTTTAAACTGCACATGCTTTCTGTTGTTCATGAATTCCAAGGACTTGTTCTCTGTTGAAACCCTCAGAGTATGATTTCCGACACTTATTGTGCACATGTCAAAACAATGGGTGCATAAGGCACCCAGCGTGATAGGTGGTGTCCTATAATAGGCTTATAATATATATATATAAAGAAATCCTAGTATGTTTCAACCCTCTCCCCCCCTTTCTGTGCCTAGTATTTTCATCTTTGGATATTCTCAGCACGGTTGTATGAACCTCTGGATGTGCCTTGCAATTGCTGTGTGGCCAGATAACGGAGCCACAAAATCTTAATAGCTTCTTAAGGAGCAGTTTCCAGGAGACATCCTCTTAACTTTGAGGCTTTCAAGTAAGGCACTGATCTAGAATGAGAAAGGAGGCTTCTGCTTGATATGTCTTGACATTCTTGCTACCTTATTGGCGTCAGACCAGTCTTGATCCTCCTGAGGGGTGCCGTCAGGAATGAGATAAGACTGAGATGAAGGAGGGGGTGTTGATAAACTGGTTAGTGAGGGTAAAGTCTGGATATTAATAATCCCATTGTCAGGTTACTTAGTTATCTGATGCCTGCTGTGAGTGCAGTGCTGTCACCAGGGTTTCAGTACATTGGCAGCATATCAATCTAAATAACTACAGTATGTACACTTTAATGGGTGGGGAAAGAAACCACAATATCATTATAGATTTTGTCCTTAAAAGAGTTGTGATGTTGGAGAGGGTATGTTGAGCTGTGTATAGCTTTGAAGTGCTGGGGTTTACAGGACTCTTTCTGCAAGTGAGAAATTTACAGTAATGGTTTAAGAGCATTCCACGATGGACATAATTCTTCCAATAACGCCCTCAGTATTAAACAAGATTGAGAAGATCAATTCAAGATGGCAAAATGGCAATAAGCCCTTTGATAGTTTAATGTCAAGAATGGCTTCAGGGAACGCTGCACAAAAGTACATTGGGCAACTCGGCTTGGTTAATCAGTATGGGTAAAATCAGAAGGGTGAGTCCTCAGTGCGTTCTCATCCCCCTCACTGTGGAAAAATTGTGAAAGAGGGCAAGCCTTAAAAATCCAAATGTCACTAAGCTTGTGTCCTGTGGGTATTCAACAGTGAATTAATCTGCCACATCCTGCCATGGAGGATACTGTTTCGTGGGAATGTTTGCTCTGTCTCTGAAATAGACCCATGCAATTGGGAGTGGCTAAATGGAGGGAACATTTTTCGCTGTGTTCCTCTAGGAATGTGGTTTAACAGTGGAATGAAGCCCAGATCCCTCCAAAGGTGAGGGAATAAACAGTATATGTGGTACATCTTTTCTATTGTAATCCTAATATATTTAAAATCTGAATTTATTAAAAGAATAATAATCCTTGCACTTGATATGATGCTTTTTTCACGTTGTTAATTCCAAGTGCTTTCCAGGATTCACTGTCAAGTGAAGTGACTGTTTTTGTAGTCAGAACATGCTGACAATCATCCAATGCATGTTCTGAAAATGCTGCAATAAACATGGCAGCTGTATTTAGACTGGGTGATTGTTCCTGTTGAGACTCATTTGCAATATCAATTGCATTCTTACAGATTTTTTTTCCTTTTTGCAGAAAAACAAAAAAGAATAAACAGAAAGGTAAGCTTGTTTTAAATGTAGGTTTCCTCAATGGGGAGCTGAGCGAGGTTGATTTACTGTTTTACTGATGTAGGGGAGGCTGTGTCTATGCAAGTGAGCGAGCGAGTGTTGTGACCATGACGTCCTACTCGTGAGGATGGTATCTCTTGTTTAGCAGTCAACCATTGCATTGAGTAGATGAAGGATTGGACATATATGCTCGTCCGTCTCCTCTTATTCAATGACAACCCAGCAAACAAACTGAAAACTATGCATCCAGGAAGATTATTAATTATTCCGATCCCACATGATGGTGAGGTATTTTCAGAAGATGTTATTTCACAGTGAACTAATAACCAGTGGATCACCATGTTTGGATTATCGAGTTCAGGCTGGCTAAATGCCATGCCTTTAACCTTGATCAAGGAGAGTTTGTCCTGATGTGAGACACTGCCACACAAGGAAATGTCAGTCTATTAGATATTAGGTAGTATTTGTTGTTTTGAAAGTTGGGGGGGTGCGTTGAGTGCTTCACCTTGGCCACACACCTTGTGCACTAATGATCAGAGAAACTGAATTGCAGAAGTGGGCTCTTTATTATGGTGCGGAATATAGGGACGCAGGCTGCTCAGAGGTCATAACTGATCAACATGCCTGTGCTCAATTCCCCAGGTGCACTGTCATCCATTATAACTTGCAAATGACATTCTGCCCTGGTTTCCTAATGCCTTTTTGCATCGGACTTAGAAAACAGTTCCTACTTAGTGTGGCGATCAGCAAGCCTCATTCCCTCGAATGTTACTCTTCATGAATTTTACTTTATTTATGAGTGCGTGTTGTTAAAAAAAAACTTGTAATGAGTTTATTTTATGTTGGATGGAAGAGTGTATAATTTTTGGCGGGAGGGAGGAGGATGTACCATTTACATCAACCAATTTTTTTACCCAAATATTAGCATTCCCTGAAAATTTTACAAAGTGTTTGATTGAATACTTCACCACTACATCTGCCAAACGTGTATTTGCTCTTGTGTATTTTTTATAAATATTTGCTCATAACCGGTGCTGTGGGCAAAAGGGTTAATGGATTTGTTTGTGACTGAACAAGTTATTGGATTTTTTTTCTATATAATTCAATATAATCTAGCTCCTGCAACTGGTGATGGAAGTAGCACTAGTGAAACGCCACAACCACCCAGGAAGAAACGAGCAAGAGTGGATCCCACTATGGAGAGTGTATGTACTTTACTACAGTGCAATGTGGAGGCTTGCATGTATGTGTAGACCTTTCAATAACAAAAAAAGAGTAGGTTTAAAACCTTTCTGGTTCCTGGTGCTGGCAAACCTCTGCAAATGTCACTCTGTAACTAAACATCCTTGCATTAAAGCACCACAAGTTGACTTGTTTATTTTTCTCTCCCTTTTGAAGACGCCCAGTTGTTGTAATTGTTGCAAGTAAAGGAATGTTACAGGACGAGACCATTTGGTCCAACAACCCAGTCCTAAATGGTAAAAAAAGAAAACCTTCGCTATTTTTTTTTCTCCCCTCTCGATTCACCACCTTCTCCAGATAGCTGGCCAATTCCCTTCTGAATTTGTTGGAATGAAAATCCGTCTCTGCTGGCTAGAGTTCTTAACCAAAATTCGAATGGATGCAAGATTAGATAACTGGATGTCAGACCGATGCTCATTAGAATACTGTTTTCCCACCCCATTAACAAAATAAGTGCTGAATATTTGTACTGATTTGCAGACAGACAGTCCCATTAGGAAGCATTTGTTTGTGTGATGGCAGAGGCAGCTTGAATGGATTCAAGGCCCTGACGGGTTAATTTCTTGGCTTTCACAGGAGGAGACCTTTATGAACCGAGTAGAAGTAAAGGTGAAAATTCCAGAGGAGCTCAAACCGTGGCTTGTGGATGACTGGGATCTGATCACACGACAGAAGCAGGTAACAACTCAGTGCTGAGTAGCCGTGCCACGGCAACACTCTCTCAGAATGTTGCGGGTTTCCTTTGACTAAAGGTTCACCTCATTTGGACTTAAGATTCCCCCATTTTTGTTTGGGAGGAGAGAGAAAATTTGCTATGAGTGGGTGACGTTGTCCCTTAATTAGGCTCATAATTGCTCTGAGCTGCTCGGGATTTTATTTGGAGGGCACTTGAAAAGGGAAGGGAGTTTCTCCCGGTATCCTGGTGAACAATCTTTCAGGCTTCCAGTCGTTCCAACGACAACAACGGTACAAATGAGCTGTGTACGGTGCCTTTCGTCTCAAGGCTTTCTTGTGGTCCTTGCTGACACAAAATAGCTGCCTCATTTGCCCCCAAAACCGTTGATGCCTTTCATTGGAATTATTGTCAAGCGCTTTGAGAAAGTAAGAGGAAGGAAACTGTTCTCCAGGCAATACATATCTGGACTACAAAGCTTGGCAACCAGTTTGAAATATATTGCTGCTGTGTAGCGGGAAGAGTCTCGCAAGACCTTACAAAGTAGATTGCTTTATGATGTGCCATTGTTTGTACTTGTTTTATTATTTATCGATCACTTTCACTCCCAACAGAATTGCCAAGCATAGATTTTTTCTTCATCTCACCTTTTCTGTGATCTGCGAGGCTAAAATTTGAATTTGAAAATAATTTTTGCCCAATGGATATGGATCTAGTTTTCATTTGCAAAAGCACCAACGTTTTGAACATCAGATTTTCTAGAAATGCGTACAATCCCCCTGAAGGCTGTGGAAGCAATACAAATCAATTTTGCTTCCATTATCCTTGATCTTGCGCAGTACATCCAATGCTCTCTGAATGCCCTTGTTAATGTTTAAAAAGTTAAAAAAAAATTAAACATTTCAGTTTTAGTTGGGGGCAGAAGTAACAACAAAATCAATTAACTCCCAAGTCCTGCCAATTTCCCCAGGATGGTGTTTTTTTAAAAAATTCTGGTAAATATTTAATAATAAATTACTACCAATAAAAAATAGTAGGAATCTTGGCATTTGGAGTAGCACCTTATCAGGTCATCAAACTTCTCAAAGCCCTTTACTATAATGTCTGGCGACTGTGTATTTGTAGGCGAATGCATCAGCCAATTTGCACACAACAATTTCCCACAAACATTTATACAAAGAATCTCTTCCTTCCTCTTCCCCACCCCCATTCACCAGTTGTGAATTATCATTATAATATATGCTTTTATTTTGTTTTTCATTAAATGTGCCTATCAATTTGGTGTGTGTTGCACGTATGTGTTCAGTTACATTCATTGCCCTAGCCTTGGAGAGAGCACTGACATTTATTAATGCTTTTCTGGTACACTATCTTTAGGGCAAGAAGCCTGCCATCAACCTTTCTATCATGATCACCACTTTGTGATAAACAATTGTTCAGGAAACTACACACTTTGTGGAGAATTTCTTTTGAAGTTAAGGTCTGAAATTACACCGTCAGTGCTCAGTCCTCATCTGCCAGGCAAACAACACTGGTGATTTATTAAAGAGGATTAGAATTCATGCATGATCTTAACACATCTTGTGATATGCTCCCCAATGATTGCATTTACGGCTCTCATCCATCTTCCATCTCCTTCCATGAAATGCAATCTTTTCCCCAAAATGTAGAAGGCAGAAGCACTTGAAAATTTGGTGATTATGCCAATGAATGGGTTGTGGTAGCTTCTACACGTACACTAACAGCTCCCTTGGAGCTAACATATCAGTTACCCAAGGCACTTCTTCACAAAGAGGATAATAATAATATAAGAATTCTTGCATTTGATATAGCGGCTTTTCACATCTTCGAGACGTCTCAAAGCGTTTCCCAGAATGTACTGTGAAGTGAATTGACTGTATATTTTGTGGGTGAAATGCAGCAGCCAGTTGTGCACAGCAGTGTCCCACAAACAGTCATGGATTGAGTGATCAAATTATTATTATATTTAATTGTTTATTGAAGCGATTATTACTCTTGGAGTCTGCCAATCGACTGACAATCGGGTTCCTACTTGCTGCGTGCTGAATTCAATGACGTTCTAGACAGGAGTAAGACAAGAGACAGTCGTGTTGTTTTCCTAACCAGGGTGAACCCTCAGGACCCAGTGAGAGGGAGTTTCCTAACTTTGCCTCAATAAGTGAAAGGGGCCTTGTTTATATGAGAACTCGAGCCATTTTTGAAGAATTTTTAACGCTTTTTCACTTGACTCATCAGTAAGTGAACTGCATGAGCTTTAATTAATGCTTCTTGAAGAGGAATCAGCCCAGTGTATCTGCATCAAAAAGCTTGCAATTCTTCCTTGTACTAAGGCAGTTGAGCGTGTCATAAAAGAGGTTGTTGGCAGGAAGCCACAGTTGGAAGTGGGTTGTGAATTAAGTAAATGTTTAATGAGCTGATGTATTCCATATGGCGATGTACTACAGAGGAAGGTGAAGAGATGCATTGATTCCTAGTCAGTAATGAGGCTTCTTTTCCCTATCTTTCTTCACTCTCAGCTTTCTGAACCTCAGCTGAATTCTAAGTGCATTAAAAACAGGCAGCTGCAACTGCAGTTAGTTCACTGTATTTCCTCTTTGGGGAAGTGCTGGTTACAGAGTGGTCTCCAACTCTCCTGTGTGGTATTTGACCCGGATTTGGTGGTGGTGGAGAGTGAATAAGAACAGAGATGAAATACAATGTAGATGAAAGGTGTCTTTCCACAAACGCCTCTCACCACCACTCCACTGGCTGGAGAATAGAGTGCACAGGATAATTGCAGACCTTCCAGGAGCTGGGCTGGAGGGGTATTGACAAACTAGCAGATGCCTGGGAGCAAGCAAACTATGTCTGTTGCTGAGGGGGCAGGGAGAGGTAATGTATTAATGGTAGAATGCAGGTGAATAACAAGGTTAAACCACTGTGGGAGAAATTAGGTATTCTATGCACCTCCTGGCTTGTTGGACGAGGGCAAAACAAGTTGTGGAGACATCTCGTCTCCTCTCCAATAGAAAGTGGTACTGAGCTCACCAGCTGCAGAAAACGGGCTTCAGCAAGATGATGAGGGAGAAAGCAAAGTGATCCGGAGGACAAGTTAATGGAATTGCAGTGGAACATTTTGCTCAGCGTCGTTATTATTATTGAAGCTGGATTTAAATTACTTCTGCAAAGGGTCCCGAAGACATCTATAGTTCTTGTTTCTTTCCCCCGCAAGCAAGTAACAGGGTAGCCCAAGCTCCTAATCACTTGGCTTTGTAATAATGTTTGTTATGCTTACATAGTTCCCTTGCTCAGAATGAGTGAGTCCCACGTGGATTAACCTTGGATGTGATGAATATTTTTCACAACCCACCACTGGAACATCTTCCCCTGGGAGGAGAGAATGAAGAGAAAGCAATTTTTTTTAATATAAATATATATATCTTTATATAATTTTTAAAATATTTTCTGGACTCAGTGCAGCTTAAGTAGGAAACGATTCCTTACTTGAACAAGTTTTTTCTCATAAGATTGATGTTACCGTGGAAAATATCCCTTGTGGCCTAAGTTCAGTATCTTTAGCTTTGAAATTTTTACTTGTGCTATTTGGCTCAGAAATCTTGTGCTCGATAAAGATTTGTACAAACTCCTAAATTGGTTTTCGCCACATCGAGGATAGTGTGGCATCCAGTTGGTGGATGTGTTCCACCTTCATCAGTCGTGCTTTCAGTCACTGCACCCCAAATCTCTGGGACACTCACCCTCAATCCCTCCACCTTGCTCCCTCCTTCCCCATCTTCAGGTCGTGTTTTAACCATGCTTATGGTACACACCCCGCCCACACACACAGCTGGTTAGGTTTGATATTAACTTAATAGATTGGCGTGTTCAAAATCTACTTTGTTGAGTAAGATTGCTGCATTTTGCAGTCCTTGAGTGTAGAGACTGAAAGGGCTAATGGATATCTCTGCCTTTCCCCGAAGCTGTTTCATTTGCCTGCTAAGAAGAATGTCGACACGGTCTTGGAAGACTATGCAAACTACAAAAAGTCACGAGGGAACACAGACAATAAGTAAGTGGTCATTCTGTACAGTGGGAACATTAGGGTGTGTGTGTGTGTGTGACTTTACATTAATATAAAATCCCTTGACACTCCCCCTACAGTTTTATTTAATTGGTTTTAAATATTAAATTCAAATAGTTGGGAAAGAGATCAGTTCAATCGTGAATCTTGCCAGAGGAACTTGACTGATCTGTCCCGATGCTCTATAACCTAAACGTGGGAATGTTTTCTGCTGGCATTGGGGAGTCTTGTAGCCAACAAACTCTGATCTCCCTTTGATATTGCTGCCTCATTGTTCCCCTCTTATCTCGAAGTGACTTTTTTTTTCTTTCCAAAAGCACTTTTTATTTTCCTTCAACGGGAACACCTGTTCTTATCAGATCAAAGGTTTGTTGCCCTTTTAGATTTCCGGTTTGAATGGAGGTGTAATGCATGTGACTGGTAATTGGAACTTTTCTGCTCAATTCACAATTGCCAATACGTGTCCCATAGAGATTAATGGGCGTGAATTTAAGGCGCAGGGGAGCAAATTTGACAATACAATATAAGATTACATTTGTAAAGTGCCTTTCACTTCGGGAGGACGTCCCAAGGCGCTGAACAGTCAGGGATTGGGACCCGAGTGGTGGGGTGGGATCGGAGGGTGAAGGGCAGAGAGGGTAGGAGAGTGGCCGAAGGCACGGTTGAGGAGGAGGGTCTTGAGGCGTGCCTTGAAGGAGGCAAGGGAGGAGGCGAGGCAAAGGGAATGTGGGTTGGAGTTCCTGAGGGTGGGGAAGGAGAAGCTGAAGGCCAGCTGCCGATGGTAGGGCGGGCCGGGCGAGGGACATGGAGCAGGCCGGAGGCTGCTGAGCAGAGAGAGCAGACAGGATGATAAGCAAAGTAAAAGGTATGATTCGGAATCTGATTTCTATTGCTCTGTCTGCGTGGGTTTCACATCCCCGAAGGTCGTGCATTATGAGCTATTTAATACCTTTGTCTGATCCGCAGGGAGTATGCTGTGAACGAGGTCGTTGCCGGGATAAAGGAGTACTTCAATGTGATGTTAGGGACACAGCTGCTGTACAAGTTTGAGCGCCCGCAGTACGCGGAGATATTAGCAGATCATCCAGACGCTCCCATGTCACAGGTTTATGGAGCGCCTCATCTCCTTCGGCTATTTGGTAAGTTTGCCCGGGATGAATCCATTTTGTGATGGCTTGTGTTTTGGACATCTTATAGGAACAAGAGTAGGCCATTCAGCCCCTCGAGTCTGTTGCGCCATTTATGCCTGATCTGTCCCTCAACTCCATTTACCCGCTCTTGCCCCATACCCCTTGATACCCTGATCTATCAAACACCTATCCACCTCAGTCTTGAAAATTTTAATTGATCCAGCATCCACAGCCTTATAGGTGAGAGACTTCCAGATTTCCACTACCTTTTGCGGAGAAAATGCTTCCTGATTTCACTCCTAAATGGCCTAGCTCTATTTTTAAGATTAGGTTATGCCCCGTTGGTTTGGATTCTCCCACTAGAGGAAAGAGTTTCTCTGTCTTCTCCAAATACTGTCTTCTTTAATCGATACATGATCCAAAAACAAACAAATTTGGTCACTCACTCCACAACTGTTTGTGGGACACTGCTGTGCGCAATTGGCTGCCGTGTTCTTGGCTTCTTGTGGGTAAAGGGATTAAGGGATATGGGGATAAGGCTGGTAGGTGGAGTTAGAATAGATCAGCCATGACCTTATTGAATGGTGGGGCAGGCTAGAGGGGCCGAATGGCCTACTCCTGCTCCTAATTCTTATGTTCTTATGTGTTTCTCCCACAAATACGCAGTCACTCCACTTTACGATATATTCTGTGAAGCGCTTTGAGACGTCTCAACAACGGACGTGATAAGGCGCTATATCAAATGCAAGAATTATTATTTTTATTATCATAATGCCAGTGGAAGCTTGGGCGCTCATAATCTTAACACAAATGTCCGTCCATGCAGTGCGAATCGGAGCGATGTTGGCATACACACCGCTGGATGAGAAGAGCTTGGCATTGCTGCTCAATTACCTGCATGATTTCTTAAAGTAAGTGAAGTGTCTGTCACTACTCACTAGTAAACCACTAACAGGGTCGGTAAGTCACTGTAGGTTTCACAGAGAGGAAGATAATTGAATGTGGTATTTCATAGAATCATAGAAGCACAGAAGGAGGCCATTTGGCCCGTTGTTTCTGTGCCAGCTCTTTAAAAAGAGCTTCCAAATCAATCCCACTCCCCCACTATCTCCCCAGCCCTGCAAACCTTTATCCTTTATCATTACGTAAATAAGCCCCGTGGACTCCAGTTTAAGAATGCTGGTCACCGTTCTTTATTCAGTGCTGATTATAGCTGAATTAATGACCAGACTGAATTGCTGAGGGAATGCAGACATCTGATTGAAACAACTTTCTCTAATTTTTCAACTCCGTCTCACTCAGCCATTCAGCCCCTCCAGCCTGATCCGCCATTCTGTTAGATCATGGCTGAACTGTACCTCAACTCCAATTACATGCCTTTGCTCCTATATCCCTTGATACTCTGACCCCCCAAATATCTATCCACCTCAGTCTTGAAAATTTGAATTGATCCAGCCAGCATCCACGGGCTTTTGGGGGAGGGAGAGAATTCCAGATTCCCACTGAGCCTTTGTATTTTGCAGGCAGTATGTGAGTCGCTGGTTTTCCAGTTCGCCGTTTTATCCTTTTCCTTTGCTTTGTTTTCAGGTACTTAGTGAAGAATGCCACGGCTCTTTTTAGTCCGAGTGATTATGAAGTGGCTCCGCCTGAGTATCACCGGAAAGCTGTGTGACTGACGTTGGTAACCGACCCACTCTTATACTCCAGTTATCGTTCAATTTGTTAGGTTTAATTTTGGCATAAGTAATTTTTCCATTGGGTTACTTTTAGCAAAAGTTAAACAGAACGTGTGCACACTGATAACGACTGGAGCAATAATTTTCAGAGCCTAGTTTTTTGAAGCAGGTTTTCTTTTGGTGGACTGAGTATAATAATGGTTATTCTTCCTTGTGCGCTGCTTCACTGTTGGAAGCAGCCACGTGTTAATGTGGATCAAATCAAATGTGTTCCTTGTTCCTTGGGATCAATGGTCAACAAACTTACATCAATCTGGTACAGAAGACAGTCAATCATCAGCATCACTGCGCTGCCCTTGTGGCCAGGAGAAGCTTTTACTACGTGATCAAGATTCTTTACATCCGTGTAGTGGTGTCTGTCTGTGTTTTCCTCTCACTCCTTTCCTCCTTCCCTCCCCCCCACCTCCCCCCCCCCATGACCCACGTTACAGACTTTGGGCAGAAACCCTCTTTGTTACCGGAAAGAAAGATTTGCCGAGAAAGAAACAAGCTTAAATCGCTGTGACCTAACACTACTTAGGATATGTAAGCGTTGAATCCCGGTAAGAGTGAAGGAGGACGTAAGGTGTTAAAATGGCCGTGAAATTTGATGAAATTATCTGGTCGTCTGACTGAAATGTGAGTGTTTCTGGTAGCCAGTCAGTGGCAGAGACTGGCATCAGAGTTCAGGAGGTGACTAGCTGTTTTTTTGACGCGGGTTCCTGGTTACCAATCATTCCCTGTCGACAATTTGCTTTTTAGCTCTGGGTATTTGGCGGAGGTGTTTTTTGACTTTTATTCTATTTGGAGAAAAACAAGTGATATTTTTGATTCATCCTAATGCTGACTGCGAACCAAAGAGGGAGGAAGAGAGAGAGAGAGAGAGAAAGAGCATCCTCTCTCCGATATTGCGTTCGTCTGCCTCGAGGAGCCACTGAAAGCAAAATAGGAATGTTTTTTGGGGGAAAGAAATTTGGAGAGGAGTGGGAGGCCGAATCAAAGCCCCCAAGCTTTAGTTCTTGGAAAATAATTGATTAAAGATGGTTTTTCTCTCAACCTAGTGTCAACTTCTCAACCTCGCCAATCTGTCTCATTGACAGCCTCTGCCTTGGGAACTTTAGTGTAATGGAGTCTGTAAAAGATCAGGGTGCTCTGGCCAGCCAGGGCTGCTTTATATCATTGTAAATGTAAATACCCTGGTGGCTTCTGGTGATGCAGTGTAACTATCAATGAAACCTGCCGTCCCAACTGTAGCTCACGAGCTTGTCCCAGGCAACTGGAGACCAGTTTGGGGTGAGTTGCATTTTAAAGATCTCTTGCAGTCACTCTCGAGCAGAGAGCTCTGTTTGTACAGTAAAAATAACCATATGTAAACCGTGTTTCTGCTATCACTGTATTGTAGACTTTTTCATAATGCCGAATGATACTTTTTGTTGTAATATTTGAAATGTTTTTTTTTAGAGAGACACGCGCACACACACACCCCGCACACACACACCCACACACATGCAACCTGACGTGTAAAAAGTCACCGAGATAGAACCCTCAGCGTGTATCTGTTGTTGTGCATTGAGGGGAATGCTGTCAGTGGGAGATCCGGTTTGTTGATTTTTAACAAGATGTTCTGTGAGATGTCCTCTGACTGAATGTATAAATTTCATTCTTTGTTTACCGATTTGAGTAAAAAAAACGAGAATTATGTCACTCGTTTTGTTACTAGTTATTTGTGCTTTTCTTGGGCAATCTGTCTGCTCGCTCCACTCAGCAGGCTCTGGCCTGCTCCACTTCCCCCACCCTGCCCGCCCCACCATCAGCAGTCAGACCTTCAGCCTTTCAGCCTCCATCCCACAGTCCCTTTCGCCTCGTCCCCTCCCTTGCCTCTTTCAAGGCCCATCTCAAGACCTTCCTCTTCGACCATGCCTCCGGTCAGCCTCATACTCTCCTGCCCTCCGCCCCTCCTGATCCCAACACTCAGCTCGGTTGCACATCCTTCACTGTCCAGAGCTTTGGGACGTCCTCCCGATATAAAAAGCATTGTGTAAATATAGTGTCTTGTTCCCGAGAAAAAAAAATTTGGCCATTCACGTCATGGCTCTTTGCGGGCCATTACTGTGCCCAGCTTGGCAGCTCCTTTATTCCAGGTGTCACTACACTTTACAGCTAGCTCTGTGAAGCGCTTTGAGATGTTTTGATGTGATAAGGGGCGATATCAAATGCAAAGCTTATTATAGTTGCAAGAGCAAATATATATATTATACATACACGCTATATATACAAAGAGAGAGCAAGCAAAGCAAGCTAGGACTCGTGATTCCAATTGACACGATTTTACAGCCTCTGAAACAAGGCTAATACTTTCACTTTGAACCTTTGATGTCGCAGTGCTTCAGATCTCGGTGGGATGTGCGGAAGGAAAATTGTTTGTTCCGATATGACCTTCACGTTTCTGCTGACAGTTGTCAAATACCAGCACGTCAAGCAATCAGACACTTATCTATCTTGTAGATTGGAGGGGGATGGACCTGTGCATTCAGTGCTAGTCAAATAGCCAACCAATGCCTTAAGCTTTGATATTTGTAGGAACTGGTTACCTCTGATTGTTCTTAGAATTCATTTAATGCTCTGTGTTACGTGTCAGCTTGGCTCAGTTGGTAGGGCTGTCTCCACTGAAATAATAATAATCCTTGCATTTGATACAGCACTTTTCACATCTTCTCGACATCTCAAAGCGCTCCACAGAATAGAATGTAAAGTGAATTGACTGTATATTTGTGGGTGAAATGCGGCAGCCAATTGCGCACAAACAGTCGTGGATTGAAAATGACCAATTTATTATTGTTTTGTTTTGGGGGTATTATTATTATCAGGTGTGTGGAGTAAGGAAACTTGCCCAAGGTTTCGCCCTCTGCCTGGAATTGAACCCAGGTGTCTCGCTTGCAAAGCGAGTGCTCTAACCACTGAGCTACAGGACTCTAAATAAAAGCTTGTAGGTCTAAGACTTTGAACTCTTAAATCCATATAGGCTGACACATCAGTGCAGCATTGCATTGTTGGAGGTGCCGTCCTCTAAATAAAACGTTAATCCGAGTTCCTGTCTGCCTGTTTCTCTGGCGGTGTTGGGGTGGGGGGAGTGGGGGGTGAAATTAAGTGGTATAGTTAAAGGATTTAAAGATCTGCCATGACTAAAACCAAAATATTCACATCAGGGTAATTTGGATTTGGATACACACTTAGACTTTGTCTGTTAAAAACTGAGGGGTATTATTAATGCTCATCATCACCATTCAGCTTTTTTCACTTAAAGCTCCTCCAAATTGCCCAAACTATTAAGGCAAATGAAATTGATTTAAAAAGCAATTTATAAAGCACACGTTGTAGCGCTTCCGCGAGGTGAGGAGGGGGAGAAAGACCTTTAGAATTGATTCTGTTTGCAGCAACGTGAAAATAACTTGATGGATTTATCGTGGACCAAATGTGAATGCAAATTAGAGCGATCTGTCACAGTCGCTGGTTAGCTTTTTATTTTAAGCACTGCAGAACTGTTCTGTAGTTTCCAAAAAAAAGTAACGCAGCACTTACAAATCAGAATGTCTCAACTGAAAGAGCAAATTAAAGCGGTTTGTGTACCATTCACACTGATGTTGTTTGCCTATAAATACTAATCACTGTTGTTGAACTGAAGTGTGTGTGTGCGACTTTCCATTGTAAATCATTTGTGTCGAGATGACAGGAGACGTGTGCAGAACATGTGCGAGATGGAGCATGACATCTTGATGGATTGTGATCGATTTCCAATCGGGCAAACGTCCTTGGGTCTCACTCAGCGCGTAATCAATCGAGAGGACGCGATCCTTGCACTGGTTGCGAAGACGGCCTGTTCCATTGGGGATCGGTAAGAGTTGACAAATCTTTTAAGATTAAACAAAAAATATATATGTTTTGTGAGTGAGCCATGGGACGCAACAATCTCAAAGCTGCTCGTTTGGCAGTGCAGTCGGGTCCAATTGCTACACAATCCCTCCCCCCCCCCACTTGTCAGGAAATCAGAATTCAGGTCAACCAAGGTCTTGGCTCAACAGATAGCAATTAGTCCTGGGCCTTTTTGTACATCAGCTCTAGCGCTGGGACAGGTTTAGATACCAGGAGGGCAGTAGATTACCAGAAGGTAATATGCACCCCAGAGGCACACAAACCAGGGAAGTGCATTAACTGGAAACGATTACACTGTCGTAACCATTCTTCAGATCTCACACATCTCACAGTTCTCTCCTTCATTGCGCATTCCCTCGTCCTTCCCAACGCTGACTGCTGTAAACCTTTCAACCCTTTGAATCCCGAAGTGCATTGAGAACGCTGGACAGAAGGACCAGGTGTTCACAAAGTCCTGTTACCCCACCGTGTGTATGTTCGTTTCCTACAGTGCACTCACTGACCAACAAATAAAACACGTGGAAGAATGATGATAATTGTCCTTTATTTAGAAGCACTTAATTGTATCCAGTGTGTATTATACTGTATTGACTGTACAGTTATCTCAAGTGTATTGAGATGGCCAGAGGATCGGGGTATGTGCGCGTGTGGTGTGTGTGTGTGTGTGTGAGCGCCATCATTTTCACAGCGGATATTGATCTGTCGCCATGTTTGGTGCCATATCTTCCGTAACATGGATGGAGTGAGGAGGCCAAATGTATCCCTGACAACTTGTTTCAGCTCCTCCCTAGTCTCGTATCTCTGTTTGGTAATAAGTGGGTAACGAGACTTTGCGAACACCCAGCAAGCCAAAGGTATCTTACCAGATCACCTGCAGTCTCTTGGGGCTTGCGACATTCGCCTTGTGGCTTGTGATGATAGTCACCACGGACAGGGGGCAGCAAACCCCACAAGCCTGAACTTCACCGCGTTCAAACAATCAAAGCCAATCTTCTGCTGGAAGATTATAGTGCGATGCAACCACATACCTTCAGCAGATCGGAAGTCAACGGATGAGTGAATGAAATGGGCAGTGATTGCAAAAGATGCTCTTTCGTTTCAAGAGTTTAATAATCCCACCAATAGACCCTTTTCAAGTCATTGTCTCAAAACGCTTCAGACGTTTCCGCGCAAAGTTGGCTGACTACGTGTAAGTCAACGCAGCAGACAGTTTTGAAAACAGCAATGTCGCACAACAGGCCATGAAATTAATGANTTTTTTTCTCTCTGGGGGATGGTTGGCGAGGACAGCGGGAGAGAGAAACTCTCTTTTTCAGTAGGGCTGTAAGATCTTTAACCCCTCGCACTGTATTGGAGCATAAGCCTAGACTGTGAGCTCAAAGTCCTGACGAGGGGTTTGAACCCACAACCTTCTGACTCGGAGACGAGCTTGCTACTAACTGAGCCAGGCTGACACTAGGCTGTTTACACAGCTTAGAGAGAATAATGGACATGGGAGAGGATCCAAAGCAACTCAAAATAAGACAACAAACTATCCAATTAGACTCTATCAAAGGTTTATTAATTGCTCTACAACCATTTTGTTCAGATCGACCTCATGAAAATTGAAGCCTGAGCCATGGAATCCTTAACGTTCACCTAATGGTATCCTGACTGTTGTACGTTGCATTTTCGCTCTGCTCAATGCAAGCATCTTACCTACACGAAGCAGAGGGTTTACCTGCCCTGTTAACAGGTCAGCATTTGTAAACATGTCGAGTTAATTAGAAGGAATGTGTACAGGCAAATTATTCCGATTAGATCAGAGATCCGATTTCTCCCTGTAACTGGCAAAACCTGTATCTGCCATAACCTATGAGTGTTCATTCAGTTGGCTCCACTGGGAGAATGTATTAATCCACGATGCTGAGTAGGCGTGGAGCAAATACAGCTCCTGACAGAACAGAAGCTTCTCAAAGATGATTAGTCTTTTGTAAAATGTGCTGGGGACGGGTAGGTGGTTGAGCGAGTGAGCGAGATCCTGCTTGATCGGTGAGGGAGATGTCATCTGTAATCGGGGATTAAGCTGACGCTCCAGTGCAGTGCTGGGGTGGGGTGCGGGGGGGGGGGGGGGGGGGGGGCGGTGGGTGTTGTCGGGGGGGACATTGCATTGTCAGAGGTGCCGTCCTTCAAATGAGACATTAAACTAAGGTCCTGTCTGGCTGTTCAGGGGGTCGTTAAAGTTCTCATGGGTACTATTCGAAAAGAGAAGGGAGTTTCTCTCTCCCCCGGGGTCTTGTCCTAATAAAATCTGTCGCTCACTCCATGGCTGCTTAAGGGATATTTGCTGTGAGCAAATCAGTTACTACACGTTACAGTAAATCCTGTGTGAAGCACTCTGAGACATTTTGATGGTGTAATAAGGTGCTGAATCAACTGCGAGTATTATTATTGTGATCGTTATCACTGGGATCTCTTATTGATGGGTTTCTGAATGTGACCAGTGCACACAGCAGTGTTGACCAACTAATCTCTATTTACAAACCCTTTTTGCAAAGCTCGCAATTTAGACTTCCCCTCCCCTGCTGCTGTTGTGCCAGTGTAGACAGGTTCTATTTAAAGAGAGAGCCTCACTTTAAGTAACGTTGTGCTGTATTTTTAACTCGTTATTTTTCAGAAAAATAACAAATGAAAACCTAGAGGAAGAACAGTGCGTCCAACACTTGTTTCTTCTACCCTATGGTGATGCTGCCTTCTTGCCAAATACACTTGGTATTAGGGAGGCTGCTTTCATC